GATTTACATCATCGTCAGTTATTTCACCTGTTACATGAATTTTCCTGCACAAGGGGAAAGAAAATTTAGAAGGGACACATGAGATAATGCTTAGCAACTCCCCCTCCCCCACCACCTCGTGGGAAAAAAAAGGGTAAAAGATTACTTTGTCTTCTAAGAAAACAGCTAGTACCTTAATATCTCAGTAGTACTATCACCATTCTCCACTTGTCTCTGTCTTTTGTTTTTACTACGGGTTGTTGGTCGGCTCATTTTATCATTGATCGACCCAGCTGTACACACAAAAAAAGACTTGGTCATCTAATATCATTTTTATGGAATAAAGGAATTTTCAATTTTAATTGAGAGTTTGACTATAAAAACTAAATTCATAAGACAAAGAACGAGAACATGAATTGAGATAATAGAACTTAAGTATAGTCCACGATGATCCCCACAAAGGAGCCAAACTCTCGATAGAGTTGAGGATTAAAACACTACATCCTAACACATCTCAGTTGGTGTAAAATGTTATGATATCAAGAACCCCTTTCATTACCGTTATCGGACAAGGACACGCCGCCGATACGGCGGACACGCCAAAAAAATTGACACGCTCTGACACGGCGAAGGCACCAATGAACACGGAATGGAAGGTTTCTTTCTGAAGTTTTTCTCTAAACAGAGAAACGTAAAACCCAAAGTTTACCCACAGAGAAATAACCAAACGATGATGAATACCCAAACACAATTAAATTATAAAACCAAACAACTGATGAATTACATATTTAGGTTCAAGCATACCTTTTAATTTGTTGAATCGTTGAAGGTTGAAGAATATGAAGGATCGAGGGGAAGGTAGAAGGTGAAGACAGAAGAAATACCCAGTCGCATAGAAATATTCACTTTCTTCTGTCCTGTAGCTTTTTGCTTTCCTTAGTTATGGGCCAATGGGCATTTAATCTAAAAGAAAATGGGTAATGGACTTTATCCTTTTAAGTTTGGGCTTAATTTATTATTTAATATGGCCGAAATCAATTTTTTTTTTATTGTTCTTTACATTTAATATTTTTATTTAAAAAAATATTTTGTATTACATGTTTTATCCTATTCTCATTTTTATTTTTTAAAAATTATCGTGTTATCGTATTTATGTTATATAATACATGTTCATATTTATATCATACCCTATCATATTATGCGATGTATATTTTATGGATATTATGTGTTTGGAGATAACAAAATATTTTTTAATAAAATAAAGAAAAAAAAGCTTAAAAGAATCATAAACGTAAAACATATAAGGGAAAAAAGTTTGCATTTCAAGTGTTATACAAAGGGAATCATCCTATTAGTGTTTATATTTTTTGAAAATTATTATTATTATATTTATAGATAAGGGCATTAATAATATTTTTTTAATTATTTTCTACTATATACCTTTTATTCCGTTTCAGCCGTACGAAGCAGGGAATTGAAATGAAATACGCAATGAAGCGGGGAATAGATATAGGAAAGCGGGAGAAAGCCAGCCTTTTCGTGGCATGTTAAAAGGATCAAAGACCCAAAAACCAAAGCCCAAATTGTTTGAAATAATAGATCTAGCTAAGGACAGGTGTCTTGACCACATTGGTCAGAACATGAGATTCATTACATACTTGTTATATACTTTAACTTGTTATTCACAACCGTGGGGATACTCGTCCCTTCAGATACTTTTAGATCCTTGACCATTTAAATTGCCACGTTATCTCATGTTTCAAAATAGAGACCGGTAACTTTCAATAATCGGCTATTTAACTTCTAAAGCGTTTTTAAAAAATAGTTCTATAATTGACGATGACGTTACTTACACCGAAATAACTCGGTCTTGTATGAGTAGAACAAATAGGTAAAGCTTTTGTTGAATTATTTTTGTTTCTATTTGATTCAGTATAAATTCAAGTTTGCTTTTTTTTTTTTCTTTTATTTTGATTCACTTGGCAATCTATCAATTTTATTTTTACTTTTATACTCATAATTTGGGTTAAATCTTTTTAAATGATCTTTTATTTTTTAAATTCAAAATGCTTGATTCCTTCTAAAAGCAATTAATATTCCTTGATGGAAGACTACAAAAACCAAAACCCTCAAACGAAGAAAGCACTGGAAACGAAGACAGAGAGAAGTAATTGAGATTTTTAAGGTGCCATGGCCGTGTGCTCGGAGATGGACAAGCCATGAGTTAATGAGGCGGCGATGGCTCTAGTAAATAAAGACGACAATCCAATCCATCTTTGATGGTTTCGATTTCACTCAACTTTATTAGGTCATTTTTTTTTTAAATTTAGGTTTTGGGTAAGATTGAGTAAGGTTATAAAATAATCGAATTTGAATTTTAGGTAAATTCGATTCGATTTGATTCGATTTGATATTGTATAAAAATTTATTTTTTTAATTAAATAATTAATTATATATATTTATATAATTATATTTTTAAATATTTATATTTTAAAAAATAATATTTTATATTTAAAAATAATATTTTATATTTTAAAAATAATATTTTATTATTTTCGAATCGGATACGATTTATATAATATCGAGTCAGAATCAGATTCAGATATAAAAAAATAAAAAAAATTTAGATAAGATCAAATTTAAATTTAATAACACATAAAATTAAATCAAATTTAAAACAAATAAATCTATTTTGAATTCGATCCGATACCAATCTTACTAGTAAAGCACCTGGCTCTTCTTGCTTTGGCCTGTTTGATGTTGAGATTGGGGTTTTACCGTTTTAGTATTAAATGAAAATAAAATATTTGAGCCTTTATTTGTAGAGATTATTTGTCTTTCTTTAAACCATCATTTTATTTTCTGACAAACAAATATAATCTTGTAATAACAAGAAAGAGAAAAAAAAAAAAAAAACCTTCTCTTACAATTTTAAAACAATATTTTATTGAGAAAAAAAACTTGAAAAATTAGATGACTTACTATTTGAGTTTTTGGTCTCGACTTTAAAACATAAAGGAAGGACACGTGGCGCTTTAGATGCTCGAGTCTCCAAAAACGTTAGTGAAATTTTGTAATTCTTATAACAAAGGGGATTTCTTTCTATAAAAAGTTAGTGAAATTTCTTAGGGACGTAAAAACAAAGAAATTGATGAAGATAACTTTTATAATAATATATATTATATTATTATATATTACTAAAATAACGCATAAAAGTTAATATAAATTTTTGTAATTATAATTATTATTATATTGTTATTCTATATTTTTTAGTTTTTACTAAGTAGTTATGGATGAGAAAGATATTAAAAAAATTAAAAATTGATTCGAAATTATGTCAGATGGATTATTTTTTTTATTTGATTATAATTAAATTTGAATATTAAATGTGTATTTTAAGTTTGAATTAATAAATAAAAATTTGAAGATAAAATTTAAATCGAATTATATATTTTTTAAATTTTTAGAAAATAAAATAATTATTTTATACTTAAATATATTAAATTTTATATTAAAAATAATATATATAAATTAAATATAAAAAATTGAGTACTCAAATTGAATCAAACTAATAGAATTTTATTCATATTGAATTATACAAAAATTCAAATCATATTTTAAAATTTTATAATATATAATAGAATTAAGTTGGTTTGTAATATATATATATATATATATATTCTCTACTATTAATTTAAATTTTTTGAAATCTTACTATTTTTGATCAAATTTATTATATTTTGTAATTATTAAAATATAATATAATATAATATAGTTTGTATTAATGTTTCAATTATAAAAAAATTAAGAAACTTTTTAATTTTGGTGGTAATAATAATGAATTATTATTATTTTTATAATCATTTGAAATTAATTTTTTCAATTAGAATAAATCGTAAGAATTTCCTTTCACTTTAGTAAAATTTACTATATAATTTTTCAACTTAAAAAATATTTTAAAATTTTTATTACAAATTTCAAAATAATTTTCATTATTAGAGATTTTTCAAATTATCATTTTTTAATTAACTTTATCTCTTTTATTATTTAAAGTAACATGTAAAATAGATTTACGTAAATAAAAAATTTAAAAATGTATACCTAAAGAGTGAAAATGTTTGTAACAAATAAAATAAAATTAAACTACTTATATTTTGGATTTAATTTGTTTACATAAAATGAGTTAAAGATCTATCTTTGGATTTATTTATTTAAAAACAATCAAACCTTTACCAACATTTTTTCCTGAGAGATTTGTTTTAATATAACAAATAAGATTTTAACCCATTTATCTTTTTTTAAATAAAATCAAACAAATAAAATCACAACTCATTTATCTATCAAAATCAACAAAAATCAATTTTAATATTGACTTAACTTATTTAATATATAATTTTATATTCAATACACTATCAGTAAATAAAATTATATATATTATTAATAAATTGATAATAATATTTAATTAATAAATAAATATCAACACTTAAAATAAATATATAAAAAATTAATTTAAAAAAATTAAAAATTTTATTTAATTTACTTCATTAATAAATATATTAATAATATCTCTTAATATATAAACTACCATGTATTTAACTCTTGTAAACATACAGGTCCACATCTCACGCCAAAATCCCAACAAACCTATAAAAATAGACACTTGTTATCTCTAACTTTTTGTAATTCTTTTAATATAGATAATAAAAATATAAATATTTTTTTCATACTTTTTTTAATGTTGCTAAAATAAAAAAATCAAATAAAAACTAAAAAATACACTTGTCGTCCCTCGGGATTTTTTTTCATCCATAGTATAGATGGTAATTCTATAGTTACCAGAAATAGCAACATGGATCAACAAATACGTAACATCTATCCACAAAGACCATATTGATGGTCAGAGAAAAAAAAAGAAAAAAATAAATAAAAAGAGTAAAGATAATAAAAAAAAAAAATGAATTAAAGAGTTATTTTAAATAAAACTGTTACTATTTTATTAAAAATAAATTATGTTTGTAATTTTATTTCTCCCTTAATTCTTTAACATGTTTTTAACAAACCAAACCTATTCTTAATTTTCCTCTTCGATTCCACTTTCCAAACCGTGCTACCTGATACCTATTTATTTTCTATTTTATTTCAATAATTATTCCATTCCTCTCTTATTTGGTTTTAGTGAACCGAACGTGCTGTAGATGTGGATAGAAACGAGAGAGAGAGAGAGAAATAGCATATGTATATGCAGAATTAAAATTAATAGAAGGAAAGGAAAGAGAGAGAAGAGAAATACTAAAATAAATTGGAAGTAGAAGACGGTTGATTGCTTGGGAGGAAGAGTCTAGGTTTCGTGAAGGACGCTCTGGAATCCGCGTTTATCCCACGGAGCTGATTCGTTGTTTTCAAAAAGAAAAAACCATAATTGCTTTTCTTCATCATCGATCAAATAAGAAGAAGGGAGTGGGGAGGAGGAAGAGGAAGAGGAAGAGGAAGATCAGATCTGCAACTTTGATTTCAATTATAGATATTATACTACATGTATATCTGATAATAAAAAATACTAGCAGAGGTGAGTTTCCATGTATTTTTTCCTTATTTCCAGTTCCTAATTGTTGAATCGAAAGTGAAATGATTCTGCAACTTCTGTCAACTTAGAACTATGTTTGGGCATTACGTTTTACGTGTTTTTGAGATGATTTGATTTGTGTTTGAATAGGCAATTGTGAGCGATGTTGGAGGACAAAGCGATTCCTGGCGATGAAACCAAAGAATCCAGTCCGCCTCTGCCGGTGGTCAAGAAGAAAGGCAAGGGACTCCTCTCCCGCATCTGGAATGCAATCTTTAGGATTCACGGGGACGATTTCGAGAAGAGACTTCAACACATTTCCAAGGAAGAGGCCGTTGTTCTTGCCCGAATTAAAAGAAGATCCCAGACCTGGAGGAGAATGATTAGGCATCTCATTGTCTTTTCTGTCATTTTGGAGGTACCAGCCCTTAACCTCATAACTCTATCTCTGTGCCTATCTGCAACTCATTGCTCTACGTCTCTCATACAATAGCAGCAGCAGTAGTAGTATTATTCTTGAAAATGAGAAAAATTACTTCCAATAACTTTCTACCTTTTCAAACAAACTCTCTTTTGGATGAGCCCTCGTGAGGATTTCTTGTCAATTTACAGGTTGTTGCAGTTGCTTATGCCATCATGACTACAAGATCCGTGGAGTTGAATTGGAAGACGAGGGCATTTCGAGCTTTGCCAATGTTCCTTTTGCCTGCTTTTTGCTCTGTTGCTTATTCTGCATTTGTACGCATCACAAGGATGTGTAAGTAACTCAGTTCAATATCTTACACAAGTTTCATGTTGTTGTGTAAGTCACTCAGCTCAATATCTTACAAAGTTACATATTGTTGTTAAAGGTCTAGACTAGTTTTGTCTATATCTTGTTGTTGTTTATGCCATTAACTGTAGTAGCTGTTGATATTTACAACTTGGTGAATCCTGATAATAGAAATTTGTGAGCATGCAGTTACTAGTGCACAAAATTAGAAAATACAAGGATTACCCCCCCCCCCCACCCAAAAGAAACTCAAGGACACGGAAACTTGCTGATTTCTTCCATATCATAGCTGATATGATATTGTGAATTAAGTTTTTGTTGGTTAGATTATAATATTGTCAAGAATACTCCGCAGGTTTTTTTGCATAAATATATTCACCTAGTCTAGAGAAGTTCTAACCTTGAAGATAGTTGCATGAAATATCCTTATGATTTCTCTTACTAGAAAGTTGGCTATTTATTTTACTGTTTTCATGCTTGACTTGTGGATGTTGGAAATGGCTTCAATTTTTGTGTATAGAAATCATAACTTATTTTTTATCTATTATATGTGTATCCAAAGTTTGTTATGATGTTACTTGATATATGAGGCTTGGCTTTTTGGATGTTTTATATTATGGAATGGTGAGGAATATTGAGTTAAAAATCCTATGATTGTTGGTATGAAGTGTATGTCTAAACTAGAAATTGCTGATTCAACTAAAGATATAACTTGAGGAACCTAAAATTGAAAATTATATGATTGATCCGGTTAGCGGTTTGAAACCAGAAGCCAAGATGTTCATTGGTTGAAATACTTTTTTAGCTTGTATAGAACAATCTAATTGGATGGGTGTTTTCTATCCCTTTTGTAGCTGGTGATTTCCTTTCTTTATCCGCCTGTCTTATACTTATTTTCTCTCCATCTCCCACTCTTCCAAGATTTTCCAGACCAAATTTCGTGCTTCTCCTTCAGCCTTTTGTTTGTTTGTTATTATTATTAAAAAGAGAAAAGGCCAAAACAAAGGAAATTATATAAAGCAAGAACATTATTACAATGTTGAGCAATTAGTTTAGAAAGTCTTAATATATAAACTATTCTACCTTTCTGAGCTGACAACTCAAATCAGTACATTCCAACTGTGGCAGAACAGCAACCATACAAAATACTCAGAAAGAAGCCTAAATCTAGTCTTGAAAGACCTATTTTCCTATTAATATAAGTTTTATTTTGTGGTTTTGTATGCACTTCCAAGGTAAAACACTGAGCTTAATTGTTTCTTATATAATTTCTTAGTACGGATTTTAATGGGTTGGAGTTCGGCTGTTCCAGTCTGTTATCTTTACTCTATTTCCCCTCTTTGTACACTAATAATTTTTTATTTGATTAATTTATATACCTAAAATTTGATTCCAGAATCTTCTTAGCGCACTTCCATGTAATTTTTGTCATGAATTTCTAGGCTTCATTTATTGTTTTAGCATTGTCTACGCTATTGTTTGAGAAAGCAATCCATCATTGTTGTATCTCTATTTTGATGATCAAGGTCTCAAACATACTCTCTTTAGGTAGTTGGACAGTTCTTAATTCTGTTGCCTATCTTGTCATGTTAGGCAAAGCTCTCTCTGATTCTAATGTGAACAGCATAAGTGGCATTCCATAGTTATTCTTATTACCATTCAAAATACTGTTTCCATCTTTTACATATTACTTTGTACCATGATTGTATTTTCGTAGTTTTGTACCTTTGAGGTTAAGCTGCAAAGCTTTTTTAAGGATAAGTGATAACCATAGTAAACTGTATTACGATGATATATTATGATTTTGATATATCAAGGTTCAACGGTTTGATGGTTTTTTAATTATGGGCAATCTTGTTAATTTGCAATTTTATCTTATAGGTGATCATAGGGACCAGAAAACTCTAGAAAGACTACGTGCTGAAAGGCAAGCAAAAATTGATGAACTCAAGGAGAAGACAAATTATTACACTACACAACAGCTTATTCAGGTAATTATAGAAAACCAGCAATTGGTTTCATCAAATGTCCTTTAAGTCCTGTGCCTGAATTCTACTTGAACTTTCTTATGTTATTCATGCCATGAAAGGGAAAGGATGAGTTATGAACCTCCCTGATATATATTGTTGCAACAAGTATTTACCTCTTTTTTTATTTTTTTTTCCTAGTAGTGTATGCCACCTTTTGGATAGTTAGAAGAAGAGTTATTTAACTGTGGAAAGGTATTAGTTAGAGCCTCATTTTATTTTGAATAATTAGGAAAGGAAACTATTGATGGCATTGCTTGCAGGAGCGCTTTGGCTTTGAGATAATTTATTGCATTTGTGCAATTCACAGTAAATTGCAGGAAGGTATAAATACTTTAACCAATTATCTTGAAAAAGTTGCCACCAAAGTAAATTATAGGCAAAAGCCTGTTTTAAAGAATCTCATGTTATCAAATAGAATGTAAAGCAATAAATAAAGATTTCTCCTTTTCTTATTTTCTAAAGCTGAAATGAAGACAATGGGAAAATTTGGGTTTCTAGTTTTTTTTGTTCTTTGAGTTTGTTTGGCTTATGAGCTGGTACTGGAGTATTTTTTTAAATGTGTGATATCATAAGCAAATCAAACTTATTTAAAGCACTTTGATGCAGAGATATGATCCTGATCCTGCAGCAAAAGCTGCCGCTGCAACTGTCCTGGCATCTAAATTGGGTGCAGATTCAGGTTTGAAAGTCCATGTTGGAGATGAATCTGGCCTTAATGTGCCAGTGGAGAAGAGCAATGATGTTGAGGTACTGCCATCAAGTGGACTAAGAAAAAGAAAGCAATTGCATACTGGATCCAGTAGTACAGGAAGCACTCCATTGCTCCATTCTGATGAAGAAACACCTCATTCTGCAGGGAATGAGGGTCCTCGAGCTTCTGAGTATGATCAACTAGTTGTTGATCATTACTATCCACAGGGTCCTTCCACACATGATGGGGGATGGCTTGCTCGAATTGCTGCCTTACTTGTGGGTGAAGATCCAACACAGTCATATGCACTCATATGTGGCAACTGCCATATGCACAATGGTTAGTGGAATTTACTTTTGCGGTTATAGTATCAACTCAAGAATATCTTAGTGGAATTTACTTTTGCTGTAAACCCTTAATTCAACACAAGTTCACACATGTACACTGCAGACTTCTAAGTGTTATTGCAGAAGAATATTAAACTTCTAACCGTTTTTGTTTTTGTGTGTTCTTCAGGACTTGCCAGGAAGGAGGATTTCCCATACATAACTTATTACTGCCCACACTGCCGCGCCCTGAATAGGCCAAACCAATCGGAAGAGCATGTTTCTGGTTCTAGCCTCCCTAGTATGAACCCCTTGGAATCAGAAGGAATTGGTGATGCAATAAAAAATTCCGGTGGTAGCATGAGTGAGGGTGTTCGGACAAGCAACAGCCCTGTGAGATCTGGTTCTGAGATTGAGGAAGTGACTGAAAACTAGTGTAAGGGGATCCAGTTGGCTAAGATGCATATCCATATGGGGCAATGAAATTGAGTGAGATGTTCTGTTTTGTCAAGAGATGGTTCTTGTTGGGCTTTGATCTCATTTGTAGCCTGTAGGTATAAGGAACGCTTGATCTCTGAATTTGCTGATGCTTTTGGTTGTGTGGCTAAAAAATTATTGAGATAGCTTACTGGGATCTTGTGATTATACATACATACGTAGATGTAGATCACTTTCCATCATGGAAAAGGTGTTCCTGTACCATTTTTCCTCTCGTTCTTCTTTGTGGGCTATAAAGTGAAAATACTTGTGGAACTTCCAAAAGTTGATGAAAAATTTCGTTGTGCTTGTAACAAATTTATATTTAATTATAAACACACATGAAATGTTGCGATGAAAATTATTCCGGTGAATAGGATAATTATAGAAAATTATCCCTGATAGGCAGCCAATTACCCTTCCACGGGGATAATTTTCAGTTTTTTTTAAGGTTGAAATATTAAAAGAAATGTTGACATGCAGTTGCTCTTGATAATTTTTTAATTCTATACAAATATATGAAATGGACTCACTTGAAAAAGAAAAAAATTCTCATAAGTTTGTGGGTTGTTTATTAAGATTTTTGGATATATGAAAAAATTTGTAAAATTATTCATTAGCGAGTTGTTTATTTTACCATATAAGCAAGTTAATTAATTAATTCAATCAATTTAATAGATTGGTTGAATTAAAATACTTAAAATTTATATTTAATGTACTGTTACATATCATTTTATAGATTATAGATATTATTAATGATTTAGATGATATGTTTCATTAAGTTTTTATATATTAGATAATATTTATTTATTAATGAGATAATATAATTTATTTCATTAATGGTATATAAATCCATAAATTAAAAATATATCAAATATAAATTTAAATATTTATTATATTTTAAATATATTATTTATTATTAAATTTGTATATTAAATATAATAAACGTTTAACAAATAAATACATTTGATTTGATGGTAAAAACATCAATAAAATTCTAAATTGATACGGATTTTTATCATTACAAAATATTTTAAAATAATAAAAATACTCAAAACTGATCAAATCCGATTTTATCAATTTAAAACCGGATTTATACTGATTCTCAGTTTAATCGAACAGTCCGATACGGTTCTGAGTGATATTTTGGGCAACAAAGTTGGAGGCGAGAAGTCAAATTGGGTCCCGGTTTTAGGGTTCATGTTGACCAACAACAATTCTGACTCTAATACTTAAATAGAAATAGAAATAGAAACAGAATTAGAAATTAGAAATAGAAGTAGTCTCTCCTCGACTGAAGGAATCAAGTCCATTAGTCAATTGAGGTTCTCGCTTCTCTCATTGCATTTTCCTTTTACGTTTGCTTTGTTTGGATGGATTGATATTCACTTGCTTGCTTCATTCTTCAATTCGGCTTACTGCACCTTCCTCTAGCCGCAATTCCTTGCCCCAAAGCTTTTCTAGCTTTAGAATGATTGCAGATTAATCGGATTTTCTTTTCTTTTCTGCTTAGATTTCATGTTTGAGATGAGTTAACTGTTTTCTTTTACCTCTTAGTTTTAGCTTATTTCTTTCTTTCTTAAACTTTGATTTTGATTTTGATTCTTCTCTTCTGCTGGAGCTGCAGATCCAGCATTTGGTGTGCGCTGGACAACATGGACCAGGTTAGTGTCACTCGAATTTAACTCTTTATTTTGCCTCATTTATCTCTGCCGCTGCGCTCCATATGCTTTTTTTTCCCCCTCAATTTTCCAGTACGAGAAAGTTGAGAAGATTGGTGAAGGCACTTATGGTGTTGTTTATAAGGCTCGTGACCGCATCACCAATGAAACAATTGCTTTGAAGAAGATCCGCTTGGAGCAGGAAGACGAGGGTGTACCTAGCACTGCTATTAGAGAAATCTCTCTTTTGAAAGAAATGCAACATGGAAATATCGTTAGGTATGCACTGTACTGCACTACTCGATTGCCCATTACCTATTATTACATTTGCTATCTCACCCTTATTCACTAGTTTGAAAGCATTTTGCTTTCTGCTTGTGCTACTCCTTATTCACTACATGTTTACCTCATGCATTTTTTGAGACAACAGGATTCATTCTAGCTATTGATGCTTATCATGCCTGCCAAATATTTTCAAGTTTTTGAATGCAGCTCCTCTTGCTTTAATATAAGATGAAGTGTGAATCAGTTATTGAAAACTTATATAATGTATTCAGTGAAAGGAAGGGTAAAAGGAAAAAAAAGACAAAACCATGCTTTTTTGGAAGTGGAAAGAGCTGATGGTATCGCTCTATTTCTTTGAGGAAGGAATTCAACATAGGTTGGTTAAGCCTGTGAATTGGCTATTTTAGATCTGACAGTTTTGAAACCGAGGTCTATTATGATCATATTTTAGACGATGTGCTAACTTCTTCTTTTCTTTTGTATACATTGACTGTTACTGTTTGTCAGGCAGCTTCTCTGATTCATCTTCGGGTGATAGGTTGCAGGATGTAGTGCACAGTGAGAGGCGTTTATATTTGGTTTTTGAATATCTGGACTTGGATTTGAAGAAGCACATGGATTCATGTCCAGAATTTGGGAAAGATCCACGAATGATAAAAGTGAGTGATCAGAGTTTTCTTCTGTTTGAAGGTTTATATGCACAAAACTTACCTCTCTGTTTGGAGTTTAACAGGTTTAAAATGTCACACCCTATTTTCAAAGACTTCATATAATGGTTACTGTAGGTTTTTTGTTGTTTATAGTAGAGATGATTTACAAATATTTTCTGAAGTGTGAGGAATTGTAGTTCTTTGATTGTCTCGCAGACATTCCTTTATCAAATTCTCCGTGGCATTGCTTATTGCCATTCTCATAGGGTTCTTCATCGAGATCTGAAACCACAAAATTTGCTGATAGATCGTAGTACCAATGCACTAAAGCTTGCTGATTTTGGGCTAGCCCGAGCATTTGGTATTCCTGTCAGAACATTTACACATGAGGTATAAAAAATACCAAGTTTGAGGTTTTTGGCTGTTCACTTGTCTTACTGATGATTGATTATTCCTGTATTTTGCTTGGCATTTATAGTTGATATCAATGTCTCGAAAGTAATATTACATCTTCTTCTTATACAAGCAATAACAATTACAAGTTGGAAAAAGAAATTTAAAGTCGCTGGAAAAACTTCTTGGCTTTGCCGCATTTCTGCAGGACAAAACCATTTTGTTTCTATTTACTAACAAGAAAATTCAAATGCTTGGAATAGGAAAAGATAGAGTCTGAGCAACTACAATTTGTTGGTTGCATCAAATAATTTCCCTTATGTTACATTCAGGATTTCCATTGCTTTGGTATCTCTAATGCAGTTTTAGATCCCTTTAGAGCATTGGGTGAGTTGGTTTCTAGTTTGATATGTCATAAATGTTTTAGGAAAATAGAGCCTGGCTAATTACCTGCATGCTTAATATTTTCGGTGCAAAAGCATTCTGATACTAGCCTGGCTTCTAAAAACAGTTGTTATCTCTAGGTGGTTACCCTGTGGTACAGAGCACCAGAAATACTGCTTGGATCCTGCCATTACTCTACTCCAGTTGATGTGTGGTCAGTGGGCTGTATATTTGCTGAGATGGTGAACCAGCGACCGTTGTTTCCTGGGGATTCTGAGATTGATGAACTGTTCAAGATCTTCAGGTATTGTTGTACTCTCCTTACTACAAAGTTGTTGCCTTCATTTTATTTTGGTTTCCCTCTTGGAAGTTGTAATGTTATTATTTTTATCTGCTTATAGTATTATTTTATTGTTCTTTTTGGCGTTTACCTTCAGTTTGCTCTGATTAATCTTGGAAGGAAGATTTCATTATGTTATTAAAATGTTAACTCAAAAATGGTCATAGGTCATTGTTTGATTATATATATGCAGGGAGTGGGGTTGTTGTTAAACCTAAATGTGTAAATAAGTTTATATGGTGGCTAGTCAATTTTTGGTTTAAACAGACACAAACATTTTCTTTTTTTAGACAAGTAGTTGAATTCTGTTACCTAAAGAAGCAGCAGAGCTGCTACAAGAATGCATCAGTTCTTACAAGCATTCTTAATCAAACATAGCAGAATTAAGCCCCCTATCATTGCAAAGCTTTAGATTTACAGAATCAATAACAATGTTTCTGTGCCTATATAACCACTTACAAACAACTACTTTGATTTGATCCAGCAGCCTAGCATCAGTCTCCTCAACATGGCTGTAATATCTTTTCTTCCTTTCTCTCCACATTAAGTAAATAAATGCATTTCATGCAATGCTTAAAATGATGGTGATTAAGGCTCTCCCCTTGAGCTTGCAAATAGCCCACTGCAGCTCCTCCTTCCAATCCTCCACCCTTTTGTTAATCTTACGAAGATCAAGTACTTTTCGCCCTAAGGATTTGGAGTAACCACAGCCAAAGAAGAGACGGTCTCTGTATTCCTTCTCCTGATGACAGAATAAACAGTTATGAGTTATCCTCCACTGCCATTCCCCAAGAAACAAGACTATATTTGGTGGGATTCCTTTTGAGCACAGCCATCCAAGTGATCACAGAATGGGAATATGAAACTGAAACCAGATCAGTCTGTGCCAAGCCACTTTCTCTTTCTTTGGTCTGATGTAGTTCCATACAGCAGCAATTGAATAACCTGCACCAAAGAAAGGCCAAATTGCAGTGTCATTACTCTGCTTAATGAACTGTTAACCACCTGTCTAAATTGCATTAACTTCTTCCAGCTCCAACTGTTCCCTTGTTGAATAGGAATCTGCCAAACATTCCTACCTTTCAAAACATAGGCTTTGATCCATGCAATCCATAGAGAACCTGCATTGATAAGAATAGGCCAGAGACTCTTTAAGAATTCATGCTTGGTTCCAAGACAACATCCTTGAGTCCCACGCCATGCCTCTGACTTCGGTAAGCAAATGGATTGCTACCTGATTTGATCCCCTTTAGCTGATCCTTCCTTCCCTTTCCACATGTATGTGCAAAGAAAATGGAGCTCTTTAGTTAATTGAGCATAAAAAATTGCCTTCTACATGTAGCTTGTAGGAAAATATCAGTGCAAATTTTCTCCCTAAAACTTGTGCATTCTCTTTAGACTGATATATTATTTTCTATATGAAGAATATTAGGTACTCCAAATGAGGATACATGGCCTGGAGTGACTTCACTGCCTGATTTTAAGTCTGCTTTTCCAAAGTGGCCGCGTAAGGTAGTGTTGTGTTTACGACATATGGTGGCTATATGTTCTATCATCTTAGATTAGAGGAATAAATTGATACATTTCTTACTTGCAGGATTTGGCAACTGTTGTTCCAAATCTTGATTCAGCTGGCATTGGCCTTCTTTCTGTAAGTATTTATTTGGCCTTCTTTTGTTTTTTGCTTCACCTGACTCTGTGACTATAAAGTAACAAAGTGGGATTTTTATAAGATAGAATACCTTTACTAGTTCTCATGAGCTGTGGGCCACATGGCAATTTTTTTCTTTTGCTAAGGTCAGAAATATTTAGTTGATTGTTGTGCTTTCTTCAGTATTAGTGTAGACATCAATGACTTTGGATTATTATCTTGTTTGTTTTTGTATATTGGTGATTCTATTAGTCCAATCTCACTGCAGCTTGAGATCATTTTCAAAGTGACTGATTTTAATAAATTTTAGAAACGTGGCTTCTTTAAAATTTCTCATTTAAAGCCAACCATTTTTTTGATATAGAGCAGTTTTTCTGAGCTTGAACATATCACCACTCCTGATGATCACCGAGGGATATTTTCATACACAGAAATTAAGAACATGTATTGCATCTCTGCTATTTTAACTGATGATACATTTCTCTATTATCTTTCAGAAAATGCTATGCATGGATCCCAGCAAAAGAATTACGGCAAGAAGTGCTCTTGAGCATGAATACTTCGAGGATATTGGGTTTGTACCCTAATACCTCATACCCATATCCTGAGAAGTGTCTATATTAATGTGTCGCATTTTGTGGGTTTGATTGTGAGAAATATGTGTGGTCTATTATATGTTCTTTTGTTTTTCCCCATTGCAAATATTTTGTTTTCCTCTTTCAATTTGCATGGACCAAATTTATGTTAAATGGAACTGGTTTTTACAGTTATCCTGGACTTATGTAGCAATAGCATCTGATCATAGTATCTCTTTCCAATGCCTGACTTATGTTTGCCTCATAAGTGAGTGAATCAAATCACTCTTTTGCTATCTGTTTGGTTAGCTTTGCTTTTGGTAAAACACATTTCGTGTATTCTCCTACACTGCAGTCCTTTTGTAAAACAAAATACAAAAGGCATAAAAATAACAAAATGTAAAAAGATTAGAAAGATGAAGCTATGAGATTAGAACCTTGTTTCAACCCTTTAAAGGGAGAGATTCCTTGCGAAAGCATCTAACTCTTTTTGTGCAACTGACGCATTCCTTTCATTCTTGTTTCTCTTCTTATGATTGTAACTTTTACTTGCTAACGAGAACAAGTATCTACGAGGGCTTGAAGGCAGGCATCAACTTATGCCAACGCAATTATTCTAACATTCCCACATTGGATCCTATATGTTTAGGTCAGATTGACGACAGATATGTCTTACTAACCCTTTGAGCAGCGGATTAGCACGGATTAATATAACGAACCAGTATTGTCAGGGCTTGATCCGCCTATAAGTTATTCCGCGTCCTATTAAGTAACGCCTTGTTTATTTATTTATTTATTTTTTAATGTTCAAACTTTATCAGCTTTGATTATTGATATTTTAAATATTTTATAAAATTATATTTGAAAATTACCTCATTCAAAGTTTTTAGAAAGTATTTTTCTCATATTTTAATTAGTAATATATTTAAAATAAAATGAAATTCCAGTTGAAAAAAATTGACCCTTAAAAAGTCAAATTATGACATTATGGGATGGAAAGAAAATTATATAATGTGATGTTTCCAGGTCATACTTTAAACTTTGAATTTGAAGTAGGGCATATACTAAATTTGACAAGTTTTATATTTGTGATATATAAAATATTAAAAAATTATATATTTATATCATATGTTATACAAAAATTATATATTATAATTTGTATTAACATAATAAAATAAAATACAATTTTTATTTCATTAAACTTACTTAAAATTTTAAATTATATTATTTTTATATTTTTATTTATATAATTTTATATTATATTTTCGTATAATATTTGAAGTTATCAGCTTTGCCTACCATCCTACGCACGGCTTAATCTGCAGCAACAGATGGAATAACTAGCGAGTACATACAAATAGAAAATTAATGTATTTTAATCTTATTATTATTATTCATAGACAGATGGATGCATTAATGACACAAAATAGCATTGTGGGAAGGAATCAACCCAGGTGTCGAAGCTCCGTAACTATCTTTTCGGGAATTCACCCACCCTTTCACGTGCTATATTATTTTTCAAATTCAGTTTTTCATTAACACAACAATCATCTTTTTGGAGTAGGAACCTGAAATTATACAGATATATTCAGCTTTTGGGCAGCTAATAAATTAAAAAAAAGAATATGGCATTCATGGGTAATAAGGCACAGCAAAAGCTTGAGCGAGTAGCAAATTAAGTGCCTTTATTCTTCCTTCCATGAGTGGCCAAAGAAACTCACGGGCCAAATTAAACTTTGCCATTGCCCTTTGCCTTTTTTTTTTCTTTCCCTGATTTGCAAACACTTAAGTTTGTTTCCCTGCAACTGCCAAATATTTATGTATGATACTGTTTCTGTGAGATAAATTCCCAACCAACAAACTACGGTTCCCAAAGTCGCAATTGCAAACCATCCTTCCTTCTATATTAAACAATTAGTTGCTTTCTTCGTAACCAAAAAAGCTTCCCTGCATCACAGACTCCTTAAGCCATCCCTTGCGGACACAGTTGCTAGCTCCTATTTATATATACATCACACATTGATTGATACTTATAACAGTAGTTGTCTTGAGTTAATTAAAGACAGCCTCATACCCCATTTTCTCTCCCACTAACTATACATAATTTCCAAGGAGTAAATATAAAAAAACCACCGGTAAACTCAACCCAACAATGGAGCCCTCCACCAACTGTGGGGACGTCACGATGAATTGCTCCATATCTGATGTTGGCCATGGCGATGAGACTAATTATTTTAACTCTCCGTTGCTACTCCAACCATCATATGCTCGGTCAAAGTCCTTGCTCTGCGATGAATTGCGCAGCTTCAGAATAAGCCTCAGGTGGTGTGCACTGGATCACTCGTCCTGCAAAGGCAAATTTATATCCTATTTCATGTTTGTTTTCCTTACCGTTTTTGTCCCTCTCATAAGCTCCCTCTCGGTCTCGCTCCAAGTACCATCTTCCGCATTAACAACTGACACCACTGGCTTCAACCTTCTGGTTCAGTTTCCTGAGTCAGGCTTGGCTTTCTTGGGCTTTTTAACCTTATGCTGCTTCTTCAGAAGATATGGGTTGAGACAACTCTTGTTTCTTGACGCCCTACAACAAGATACCACCTTTGTGAGACGTGGATACACGCGGGAGCTGGACAAGGCGTTTCGCCACCTGGCATTCATACTTCTACCCTCTTTCTTTGTTGAAGTTGCGCATAAGATCATATTCTTCTCCACCGTGAAGATATCGTTGCCTTATGTTAGCTCGGGCTTCCCATTGAACTCCATCGCGTTTGTGTTGGTGTTGTGGTCATGGGTTTATAGGACAGGTGTTTTTCTGCTTGTCTGCGTGCTGTTTCGGTTGACTTGTGAGCTACAGATACTGAGGCTTCAAGGGCTCCACAAGATGTTCGATGGATGTGGGTCTGACGCTGGGGACATATTTCAGGAACATGTCAGGATCAGGAAACAGTTATCTGTTACGAGTCATAGGTATCGCTTCTTTATTATTGCGTCTTTGGTTGTCATCACTGTCAGCCAGTTCGTGGCTTTGTTAATGGTTTTGGCCTCAAAATCAGACAAGAATTTTTTCAATTCTGGTGATCTCCTGGTAAGTAGTTAATTTTGCACTACCTTCTGTTCGCCACTTTATAATTATTGATTAAGGGACAGTTCACATATATACGGTCTTATATATTAATCATAGACGACCCAATCAGCATGCAGTTGTGCATTTTTTGACAACTTAATTAGTTTGATTTAATTTGTTACTGATGAATTACTATATACATATGGGGTGGTGCAGGTTTGTTCAGCCGTTCAGCTGAGTGGTTTCTTCTTGTGCTTGTTGGGTGCGGCAAGAATCACACATAGAGCCCAAGGAATGGCATCGGTAGCCACCAGATGGCATATGAACATGACATGCGCAACGGCAGGAGTAGAGCAGGGGAAAGTAGTTCTCCATAACCGAGACGCCGATGTTGCCCTGGATCCTCACTCATCTCAATCAAAATTCAATGAAAGCGACACCGACGACTCATCAGATATATTCATCAGCATTTCCACACAACATCCAACATCAAACTACCAAGCTAGGCAAGCTTTAGGTCGGTTAATTTCATGGATATATTTATATCTCTTAATATATCTGCTGCATTAATTAATTAATTAATTAATGATAATTCCTAAAATATATTATATCATACTGATAGGGTTTTTGGTTTTTGGATGATGCAGTGTCATATTTGCAGCATAACAACCGGGGGATCACGCTGTTTGGATATGCTCTGGATCGTGGATTGCTTCACACTCTCTTTGCATTTGAGTTCTCTTTGGTGATGTGGATTCTCAGCAAGGTTGTTGTTTTGTCTTAGAAACCAACACCATGCTCGTTATAAATGTGGAATCATGGATTGATCCATCCCTCACAGTTGAAGGGAGAACGTCGGAACATCACAACTCTTTTTTTTTAATCCTTAATCGTGTCAACAAATAAATGTAAATATTTGTTACACAAAAGGACTTCATGACCCAATGGATAAGGCGGTGGTTTACGGAAGCCAGAGATTCATTCTCGGTCAGTGGAGTCAGCTGATTCCCAGAAATTCATTCTGGGCCAGTGGAGTCAGCTGATTGCTGTATCTCTTATATTGATATGGTTTTTTATTCTCATCAGGTGCCCTTTGAAATGGGCCTAAATATTAATGGACTCAAGGCTGGCATGTCAAAATCGATTATGTTATAACTTATGAGCAATGACCCACTCAAATTCAATAGTCATCCATACTTTGTTAGAGCCTAAAATAATACTATTGACAATTATAAGAAAAAAAATGCAGTTCCCCTCAATGGATAGAGCATGAATAAAAAATCAGACCGGAGGTTGACTGGGTGGGTTGCCGGTTTCCTATTCAACGGACTGATTCTCTTCAAAAGATATTTAAGTATTAAATAGGTGATTTTAACGTTGAATAAGGATTAAATATAGTAAATACTTCAAAAAAAAATATATTTAACTTAATGATTTAGTATTTAATTATAAGTATCAAAATCGAATCAAATGGTCAATCGAATTGTTTAAATAGGTGATTAAATATTAGAAATAGTCCAATTTTAGTATAGAATCGGTTGGACTGTTTGAATAGATGATTCAATGCTAGACACGGTCTAATTCTAGTATTGAATCGTTTTACAATTGAAGAACCATTTGAAGTCATTGGTTTAATTAAAAATTGATAAATCAAACAGTTTTTATTAACTTGAGCAAGTTTAATATATACTTATAAAATGATCTTAAAATCATAATTAATTTAGCTATCAATAAAATTTATTAGTTATTTTTTCGTTTAATAAAAAATAACTTATTTTAAATTTTAATAACTAAAAAATTAAAGATAAAATTACAAAATACAACCTTACAAGAACATAACTTTATTACTTATCACATTATTAATTAATTTATCTAAAATATTTGTATTTTAAAATATTTTATCTAAAGTAATTTATCTAAAATATATTTTCTCACATACCCAAATGACATTGGTTGAATATGTGACCCATCGACCCATTACTTTGTTCGGTTCAATTTGAATCTAATCCAATTTTGATAACTATGTATTTAATATAGAATTATAAAACTAAGAGTTTATAAATTTAAGTCTTGAGACTTGCATTTTTTAATAATTAAATAATAAAAGAAAAACTAAAACCGGTTCAATTACCGGTTCTTGACGGATTCATCAAAAATCCAGTTTAATTACACCTATCGACTGGACAGATCACCAGTTCCCGGTCAATCGGACAATCTGTCTGATCAACCGGTCCGATTGGATCTTTTAGGAGACAGAGAGATGCCCACACAGTCTTTTCCAAAGTTTCTGAAGATTGCACCCTAAATAGAAAGTAGAAAGGCACTTTACATAAATGTCTTTAGCATTAATCACTGATATTCCTAGACAAGTTCTGAAAACTGGTTGAGAGTGCTTAAAATGTCTCCGAGGCATCCAATAAGCAAGTCACCTTGACGTCTTATAAAATCTGTTCGGGAGTCATCAACATTCTTCACATTAGCAGCCCTGTGGTCATTAAAATTTTCCTCAACTACAGCGTGGATCTGCTCTGCATTCTCGCCAAGTCTTGCCACCATACTTTGCTCCTCATCTTTCATGCTAAACATATGGTTTATGTCCATGTAGCATTTTTCAGGATTTTCTTCTGCCTCAGTTCTCCAACTTCTTTCTTCTGCTTCGCTTCTCTGAAGCTTTTCTTCAGAAGGGCTTTCCTGAGGTTGTTCTGCCAGGTGAATTTCCTTAAGCTTTTCCACCGCGCATCGTTTGTGTGACTTTGCTTCAGCAGGGCTTCTCAAAGGAATTAACTTTCTTTTTTGCTTCCTGGGCCCTGATAAGACCAAATAACAAAAGTGCAACATGATACAAGATCAATATCAAAGGTTCCCGCAAACTATCCAGTTCTTATTCCTACATCAGCACAAGCCCATTTCATTGGAAAGCTGTCATGGTTGGCTACAGAAAATATCATGAAGATGACAAAAGGCAGACAAATGCCATTTAAGACGTTCCCAGTATCAAATGCAAAACATAACAATGCTAGGCTAATGGGACAATCTGACAATAGCTTGAACAATTTGATTTTGAAAAGCTGAATTATTCATGTTTATGAATACCCACCACAAATTCACTCATGTACAAAGATATATTCTATTTCCTAAATCAGTGCTCGTGAATAAACAGATAAAATGACAAGAATAAATGCAAAGGAGAAGCATGGAAAACATATCACTGATATCACCTATATTCAGAGAAAATATATGGAAACATAGTAACTTTGATAGGTTTCACCGGACAAACAACACAATTTGTATACCAACTTCAGTTGAAAGTAGAAAATGGAGAATGTTGTAAAGTAGGAGTAATATAATTAAAAGTTCTACATCAAGATTAGCCTCCGAAGTTTTTTGCAGTGAAAATACCTCAGGTCAGTTAGACAATTTACCACCAGTAAAAATAAAGTTAAAAAAAAAAAATTCACTGAGAGGACTCCTCCCTGAACACCCAAAAATTAAAGAGTGGTTTCATGCATGAACAATAATTCAACTGTCTAAGACTAAGAAGAGAGCTTTTAATGGAAAAACTAATCTTATTTGTGGTTGATGCAGTTCAAAACACCAAAAACTGCAAAGCATTTCCTTCCAGTAAGTACCACCAACCATGCAATGAATGAGATAGATACCAACACAACATTTTTCAGTGGAGTACTACGCAGAAAAATATAAGTATCTAAAGAAGAGCAGAAAATCCCATCAGTATAGCAATCCAAGTGTGACCTCCACCAGTGTAAAAATTGGACTAGCAGGCAAGCAAATCTAGGCAACCAAACTGGAACTTGCATACATTCAAGGAACATAAATGAACTAAAAGAGCATGTTTGTACAGTGAAGATAAACCGTACCAAGGTCTGCAATTATTCCAAGCTTATCATCCTGAGCTTCTGGATCACTATCTCGGTCAGTACCTGATTTGTCCTCCAGCAGTCTAACAACATCGTTGATGGCCTTAAACAGATCTTCCTCGAAATTTTCTGGAAGCTCGTATTGTTTTCTCCTTTGACCATCCAAAGACCAGTATGAATCACGTAGTCCTGACTCTGACTCCCAACGCTTGATCTTCTTGTAGTCATGAAGCAATAAGTTCCACTTCCTGCGGCACTGATTTGACGAGTGTGGAACACCCAAAGCATTGCAATTTTCCACTATAATTTTCCATTTCTGAAAGGAAGACAAAGCATTTGAACAATCGGCCTCGGTAGCAGCAATCTCATTGACAAGAATGAGTAGATGGTGGGCAGCCCAGTATGGAGATGCCAGGGAACGTGTTCTTCGAATGCCTGAAAGGCGTGATGGGTTGTCATCTTCATGCTCCATTCTATGCTTTTCAGCTCTCTACAAATTTCAGTCTTTATTTTTCCCCCTGGTTTACTGGATAATTAGAAAACAAAAATAAAAAAAAGAAAGAAAAAAACCTCTAAAATTGACATTTTGTAAAATCAATTAGATAACCCATTCAATTTGAGCTACATGCAGCAGTAGCACCAAATTTGAAACTCTAGCTTGAAAAAGAAACAAATTTAAGGCATCAACGCCCCTAAATTCAGGCTGACTTTTTTTTTGAATTAAAAATTCCGGGGCAGATTTATAGACTAATGAAATGAGGAAAAAGTTACACGCTAACCCTAAAACAGGAAACCCAAAAAAAAAAAAAAAGAAAAGCACAAGCTAAAACAGATTTAAACAAATACCTGGATATACAGCTGTTTGCGAATGGAACCGGTAGGTGATGAGGTGAAGAGAGGCCAAAGTTTTTGGTCAAATTTACGTAGCCGAGTACCGGAGAAGCTGACACCCATTCTTCATTTCTTCTTTGGCTTTGGCCTCGCCGTTTTTCCTGATTCCGGTGATTGGAACAGACATTGAGGCTCCGTTTATTTGGTCAACTTTTTCTTTTTAATTAATTTAGTTTATTACTTATTATAACATATAATTACATTTTTAACGTAATAATTTTTAATCTCTAGGACATGAAAAAATAAAAAAGAGAAAGAAATATATGTGTAGGGATTCAAATTCCTAAGATTAATATTGTGAATGATTTATGAATTATATTAAAATATTTAAAGTTAAATTAAATTTTAAAATATTTAATATAATATTTAAATTATAAATTTATTAAATAAAATAATATTTATTTTTAATATTTTAATTTTAAATAATATTATGTAATTCATAAATAATTTTTTAAATAGATATTAATTAATAAATTTATAATTATGATATTATTAAAAAATTAAAATTAAAATATAATATTAAATATTTTATTATAATTAAAAATTATTTGTGATATTATCTCAAATTATTATAATAAATTTTGTTATCACTAGTGGTCAGTGAAAAGAGGAACGTTCCTGCTCTCGCCTGTAATACATGCGACAGTAGTAACACATTTATCAATTGTTAATATAATAAATACAAATTCAAATTCCTTGGGCTCGAGGTAAGTTGTGTTGTAGCTTGTAGGCCTGCCTGCCTAACTTTGAGGCTTTGAATTGACCAAAGTGAACATAATGCAGAACAGCCATATTCAAGTCCGAACCAATAGACTTGGCTAATTCGGTGTGTTCTCACAGACTTAATTAAGTGGGTGGTAGTGTCCAGATTCAATGAATCTAAAGTCCAAAGTAGTTATGGATTGGTTGCCAACAACTTCCAAACTGGCAACTGCGGTTGTTTCACTTTGCATCAAACGGCAAACGGCAAACGGCAAACGGCAAACGGCAGTTATGCTACAGTTTTCCTTAAAACTCGGTAGAATCTTTAACAATCTTAATTTGGACGCAATTTGGACGCCGTAAACGATACTGCCCACTTGTCCAGGTTCAATGAATCAAAAAACCGAAACAGGTCCTTATTGAGAATTTGGCTCTTGATTTGATTATTTCTAACATTAATTCACGCGTAGAAAATTGAATGACTTAGATTGAGATTAAAAATTAAATAATAATACTGATTTTGGCATAGGTGATTTGATTAGTTGAGGCCCGGATGGGTTGGGTTTAGTATCTATAAATAGTGTGGTGGAGCAACCCTCCTCCTTCGAGCTCTTCTTCCTCTTCATTTTGGAAACGAAACAAAGACCAGAATCAGAAACGCCGGCAGAGGGAAAGAAAGGGAGGAGGGAGACACAGACGCAACACACGAGAGAATTTTAATCTCAAAACCAAAGCCTTTGTTTCTCTATTTCTCTCCTGACGTTGCCTGCTTGCCGCCGCTGTCCTCGTATACTATTTCAGATCAACGAAACGCTTTCTCTGTTTCATATCTATCAATCCATTTATCTTATCGTAAGTCCTCTCCCTCTTTTACTTCTTCAATATGACATTCTCAAATATCAACCATCGTTTTTTTTTTTTACTTCCTCTCAGAAATCAGAATGTATTCCTGCATTCTTTCCTTTTTTTTTTCTTAACAAAATAATTACATTTATCAGCCATTCACAAGGAAACAACGGCTGTTATTCGTTTAGAAGGAAAACAACAAACACAACGTTGGTTCTAATTTTCATCTTATCTGCGGCTGCTTAATTCTCCTTTTTTTTTTTCTTTTTAAAATATTTAATTTTCTTGCTTTCACCCTGCCTTGGTAGATTAGATAGGTTCAATTATGTTTGTCTCAATTTTCCTTGGACTCTGACTATGGACGAGTTTTATGGCTATAGATGAATCCTGCTATCAAGTAGGATGTGATTGAATTGAAACCAACAACTTACATCTTGTCTCTTTCTGCAAATGTTTACATGACGCTTGAGTCTTGTGTCATGATGGGGGCAACGGGGCCTGCACTGTAATTGCAGCTTGCTTACATTTGTTTGGTTTCTTGGGTTTGGATGAGCATGACAATGACAGCAGAAAATCATGTTCGACCAAGGCTTGATCTCTTTGCTGTTAAATTGAGCTAATCGGAACACATTGCCTTCCCACAACTTGTATAAAAAACCATTTCATAATAAATGGTTTCTTGTCATTGTTTGTCATGTTGTGATGCATTTTCTTGTTTTCATCTCATTGTCTATAATGAAAAATTAACGTTGTCAACTTCATTTTCTCAGGAACTTTACGACTATGGTTTTCTGGGTTTTTGGTTATGGTTCACTGGTCTGGAACCCTGGGTTCGAGTATGATGAGAAAGTCATAGGCTTCATCAAGGATTACAGGCGTGTTTTTGACCTTGGTAAGTATTTTATCAATATACAACAAAATTATCTGGTTGTCTTTTTATTTTTTATTTTTTTGCAGTATTTATTGTTTTACTGCTCATTTATCTTGTTTATTCCACATGACAGCATGCATTGATCACAGAGGTACACCTGAAAATCCTGCAAGGACTTGCACCTTGGAGCATATTGAAGGAGCCGTTTGTGTAAGTGGCGGTTCACAGTAACTCTTTCATGTTATATATCTACCAGTTATCAAGTTTGTGCCTTCAATTGTTTCTAATTTACTATCATCTCTTGCTACTTATTAGAGGCAGTCATAGAGCAAGAGATCTGATACTGGTTTTGTGTTGTTGATCATTATTGCTAATTATTCTTAGTCTTGTTAAGAGCTGCATGTTTTCTTTGTTTGGTAACTCTATAAATATTTCTTTCAGTGGGGTGCTGCTTATTGTGTTCGGGGAAGTCCTGAAAAGGAAAGAGCGGCAATGGAGGTATCTTGCTTCACACTTCACTGTGTTGTATTGTTGTTTATGGTTCTATGTTATAGACGGAAAATTCTACTGGCACTTAACAGGCCTCATTTTTAGGTATTATTTCTCAACTAGTTTGTGTATTTCTTAGAAACAAAAGTGATGTTTTTATTTCCTTTCAATTTTTAGTACTTGGAGCGGAGAGAATGCGAATATGATCAAAAGACCCTTGTGGACTTTTTCAAGGTATAAGATTGAGATTTCTATTTCACTAGTGCTTGGACTTGATTTCCTTGTCTTGCTTATCTCTTTAGGTTTGTTTTTTTCCCATTTTTTCATTCAGGAAGCAGATCCCATGCAGCCTGCTCTAAGTGGTGTTATAGTGTAAGTTACCCAGCTTTTTAAGTTCTCATCATGTTGTTTTTCCTATTGTAATAGGTGGATGCAAAAGCAGCAGTCATTATGTGCATAATTTTCTGAATAAAAATGTTTCTTCATGCAGTTTCACATCTACTCCAGACAAAGTTTCAAACAAGTATTACCTGGGGCCTGCTCCATTGGAGGAAATGGCTATGTAATATTCTGATCCTTCCATTTTTACCTTAACTTTTTGATGAAAGTTTTTGCTTTGAGCTTCATTGTTGCATATGCTTGTTACCTTTTCAGGCAAATTGCAACTGCTGTTGGACCCTGTGGAAACAATAGAGATTATCTTTTCCTGCTGGAGAAGGCCATGTTCGATATAGGTGAGTCTTTTTGTCATTTTTCTTTTTCTCTTCAAACTACTCATGAGTGCATCATAACTGTATGCACACACACATATAGAGAACAATATGTTGAATGAGTAAATGAAAAAGATTTGGGATTTTTGTAAACAGGTCATGAGGATAACATGGTTATAGAGCTGGCAAATGAAGTGAGGAAGGTTCTTGGAACATTGGGGAAAGGAAATTCCAAGGAGAAGAAGGTAGTAGGGTTTCCTCTCAAACCACTCACATCCCAGACTCACATCCCATCAATTCAATTGCGTTTGCTTCCTGAAGCTGTTGCAATCGATTCCTAGCTTCTCCATCAACTCTCAACAAGCGTCCGAAGGCTAGTAACTAGAAGGCCGAACCTTTGTAACCCAATTATAAGTCTTGCTTAACCTAGTAGAGAACAGTATTACCATTTTTTATCCGGCATTTTTATTCATTTAGCTTTATCGTGGACACGAGAATGGATGTAACAGTTAAAATGGCGTTAATTTCAGTTTCTAACCAAGAAAAGAATGTTTCTTTATGTTAAGATGCATTTTGACCTCATTGAATCTTTCATTGGCAATGACACGGATAAATTCAAAAGAAAATTGTTATTCAATAGTTTTCAACTGTTCAAGGACATGTTGCTTGAAGGAAGCATATGCTGCTATATGTATGGTAATGGTAATTGGTTGAATTATTGGAAACAAAATTTGCACTCCTCCTCCTCCAGGCTCTTAGACCTAGTATTTTTATTTGTGTGATGAATATGTGTAGTGGCCAAGGTATAAGAACCAAGAAATGTTCTTACAATTCAGAATTATACTATTTTAATTTATTACGATGAGAAGTAAGGTTTCTCCCGCAGTCCACTCTCAAAAAGAAAATAAAAAATACTATTTTCATTTTAAAATATTTGTTATGCATTGATTTTCACAGAATTTATTTTTTTTATTTTAATATATTTAATATTAAATTTTAATTTTTTAAAAATTAAAGTTTCATAATTTTTAATATAAAAAAATTATAAAAAATAATTTTAAAATATTAATAAGTAAATATTTTAAATGTTAAAAAATGAAAATAAAACATAATTTTTGAATATCTGAAAAAAGAACAAAAAAAAAAAAAAACAGAGAGAGTACTATAATACTGTTTTTTTTTTTGGTAAAAATTAAAAAATTAAATAATAGTAGTTTTTAAAAGAAAAAATTTTAGCAGCATTCCTAATTTTATATTTTTATAGACTAGATAAGAGTCTATTACTGCATCTTAATTTATGTTCTTTTATTTTATTTTGGTCTTATAGGAACGGTTTAGAATTTAATTTTAGGTATATATTATTTATTTATATATATATTTAATAATCATGTGTGCTCTAAAGAGTTTTTTTTTTTTTTGGAAAATTTAATTTATTTTAATTCTTACTCTATTTATTTAATTCATTTGAAGAAAACTTTAAATCATTTCCAACTCTAATTTACATGAATTTTATCCATTATGTATGCCATAAGTTAACAATAAAAAGTATTTATATTTTTTGAAAAAATAAAAGTATTTATTTACGTATGTGTAGATGTATTTATATACGTAGCTGTATATAAAAGAAGAACTAAAAATAAAAAAGTAAAAAGGACTTGAGAAACAAGTCAGTTGAGAAGAGTATAAAGCGAAAGTATCTGCGCTTCTCTTTCTCCTGTGTTAAGGTCTTAAAATAATTTGAAGCCGAGCCGAGCAGAGAAGAGTTTAGATTAGGATTTAGGGTTTCTGGGAAGGCACGGCTAAAGGCAAATAAAAAACAAATGGATCTGAATATGAACTTGGACGGCCCTCACTCCATGGGCACAACCATCATCGGAGTCACATTCAACGGAGGCGTCGTCCTAGGCGCCGACTCTCGCACCAGTACTGGTATTCTATTCCTCTATCTCTCTCTCTTTACTTTTATTATTATTATTATTATTAGGGATTTGAATTTCTTAAATAATGTTTTGTTTTTTGGGTCAATTGATTGATTAGGGATGTATGTAGCTAACCGGGCATCTGACAAAATTACACAGCTCACTGATAACGTCTACGTTTGCCGCTCTGGATCCGTAATTCTTACTTTTCTTTCAACTCACCTCCCTATATTATAGTACAACTATATTTGGCTGAAATTTCTCCTTTTTTTCTTAATTGGCATCCACAAAAAAAATTGTTTCTATATTTTTAGATATGATGATTAAAAAGATCGTCATGTTTGCAGGCTGCTGATTCACAGATTGTTTCCGATTATGTCCGCTATTTCCTTCACCAACATACGTGAGTTCTTTCTTATACTTTGCTTCTCTTTTTAATTTTGCTGTTTTGATCTTCCAATTGAAGTTGGTTCCCATCAAGAGACTTTTGGATTGTCCTTTATTGTATTATACTTATTCTAATGCTATTTGGAGCCTGGGTGTTAAAATTTTAAGAGTCTATTAAATGTTTTGGTCATGGATGAATTCTCTCATATATTGTACTCCTTCGCCTAGTTGCAATTCCTAAACCAAGTTTTCAAATCATCCTTACACAATGACCTTGCTATTGCTTCCAAGTTGTATATTCCTCCATACTAATTTTGCACTCTCTATCTACATATTGCTTTCATCTTTTTCTGTTATATTTACGTCATCACTGATTCTTGGGTTATTATTCTATTCATGAGATTTGCATTTTCAAACTTCTACTATGAGATCGTTTAATAGCTTTTTTCCTCCTGCATGAACAGGATACAACTTGGACAACCTGCAACTGTCAAAGTTGCTGCAAACCTTATCAGGCTTCTATCCTACAATAACAAGGTTTGAGCTTACCATTTAGAAAGCTTGCCCAACTCTTTTGCCAATCTTCATCCTTTTCCCCTTCTATTTATCCCTTCTCTTTTCTTTTTTCAAGTTTTGCACGGTAGATTTAGTCTGTTTATACATCCCCGCCCTATGGTACAGATTTTATGTAAAACTTGATACTTAAATCTTCATCCCTTCAGTTTGTGAGGAATTCATCATCATTTTCTTCCTTTATAGTAAAGTGTTTCTGGTTACAAACCATTTATTTTGGAAATTGGAATGCATTGTGATTAGCATTTATACATCAAAATTATACTTTAGTTTTGCTGCAATTATCTGTGTGATTTATATTTCTAGGAGCAAATGATGATCTTTTATCTTTTTTCCTATAATTCATGTTTATGTACTTGACTCAATTTTATTTTCTTGTGAGCAGAACATGCTTGAGACTGGCCTTATTGTTGGCGGGTGGGATAAGTATGAAGGTGGTAAAATTTATGGAATTCCTCTTGGTGGAACTCTGGTTGAGCAGCCTTTTGCTATTGGAGGTATGATATTCTTTTCATCTTTTTGTCTTAAGCATCCTTTCCCTCCAATTCCAGGAATTAGGCTTGATGTCTTATTCATCTCTTCTGGTTTTATGTTAGTTTACATTTCTTTTTGACTTGTTCTTCAGGATGATATATTAAATGCTGGCTAGCATCATTGAGTGTTTTAGACTTATGGTGCATACATTTACAGACATGCATGTGCTTATGAATAGATAACATTTGTATAGTCTTGTTTAGCCAGAGGTTTCCCTACCCACTTATCTGCTTATTGCTCAGACTGTTGATTGCCCTCTTTCTTGCCTTTATTCGTTCTGAGAAATTTGTTACCAAAGAAGGTTCAATGCAGTCATGTGACCTTGAGAGTTTTCTCCCATAACTTGAAATCAGTGAGTCAGTGGCAAAATATGTGAAGTCTTCTCCATAATTAGTTAACTGATGAAATTAGACTTAACTATTCTTTTTCCTTATCTGTCATTTCTCAAAGTCCTAGATCACCTAGTTTTTACCATTGACAACCTAAAATATTAGGAGTTTGGTTTAAAATATTATGGGGTTCACTAGCAAGTGCTGCAGTACTTTTGCAGAAAAAGGGTTATGATTTGGTTTGATGTACATTGCACAGGATCTGGCTCCAGTTACCTATATGGGTTTTTTGATCAGGCATGGAAGGAAGGAATGACAAAGGATGAAGCTGAGGTACATTTGTTTTAGTTTAGCTTGACAAAGTCAAAATTTTCCATGTTTTCTTTTATTCTTTAACAACTTTTATGGATATAATTATTTTGCGAAAGTACTGATTGGTTGGTTGACCATAGCTTTCCTGTTAATAGTTTTATGGAATTTCATTGCAGCAATTAGTGGTTAAGGCAGTTTCCCTTGCTATTGCTCGCGATGGTGCTAGTGGTGGTGTTGTTCGCACTGTCATTGTAAGATATTTTACACTTTTAAATGAATGGTTCTTGCATGTGTAGTCTAAGTTCTGTGTACAGCATCTAACCTATGTATTTTCCATTGCAGATCAACTCTGAAGGAGTGACAAGGAACTTCTACCCTGGTGACAAACTTCCACTATGGCATGAGGAATTGGAGCCACAGAATTCATTATTGGATATACTGAACGCTACTAGTCCTGAGCCCATGAATATTTAATCAAGGGGACTTACCTTTTAGGTGGCTTTAAGCTGCACTAGGCTTGTTCTCACTTAAGACTTTTTTAAAAAAAAATTTCTTTTAAAGCAGATTTTTTTGTTTAGTTGAGTTAAAAGCAACGATGCATCTGTGGCTTGAGTGGAATTCAGTTTTATTGAAATGGCACTAAAACCATATTTGTTCATGATTTTATGTTTGGATCTTATGCATGCTATCCTCTATTTAGCTGATGTGCTTAAAGATGTCATGGAATGGTTGTGGTGTTGATGCCCACTTGAGTTGTTGCAATGATAATGATCATCGGGAAGAGTACATTGGCTATAGGGGCATGAATTTGGGGGAAAATAAGAGATGGGATGAATGCATTACTGCATTGCATTTGTGAGTGTGTAAGGTCTAATTGTGGAGTGGTAAGAAGTGGAGAGCCCATTGCTTTCCTTTCTGCGCTGTTTAATGAAAGAGAATGGCGGGCGGAGAAGGTCAGGTTTTTTTCTTGTGTAGATATCATTATCACAGAATTATTGCACTTGCAGTACAATATTTTTATATTAAATATAGTGGACCTGGCTGCCAGACGCTTTGCTGGGCATCTCAATTCTCAAGGTCCGCTTCATTACATTTCTGTTTTATTCTATTCTGAGGTGAGCTTTACCTCACGGTAAGAAAATTAGGCTGAAACCGCCCCTCATCGTAGAGGACCTAGTATTTCTATATTTATTCTATGGCAGACTTTACATCATCCTTAAGAATTTGGCTAAACCGGCCCTATAATGAAACGACAATGTATATAATTTCATCTGACATCAATTCACTGATTTGGGGCCAGGTAGTTCAAATTGCAACTATCCCTTTTTTCTTTTGTTTGGAGTTAAGGGTGTGTTTGCATTGACATTTTTTACAATGATAAGCAAGTTTATACACATATCATGTGTCTATTTAACTAAATATGTTAATATAAGCAAAACGTAAAAGGGAAACAATTACGCAAATGGAAAAAGTAGATGGGGAAAAAGTTCATTAGTTGATGGGAAATGCCATAAATCTACCCTTAAATATCCAGAGATTGTTGCTTTATTTATTTATTTATTTATTAAATTCAAAAAAGAAAGATACATCAAACAATTACTTTAAACTTAACCTTAAATATCGAATTAATGAATTTATTCAAATGAGTGGAAGCAGCGGCAGCAAATTAGGATTTCGGAGTGATGCGACGTCGAATTCTTAAATATCCAAACTTCCCTGCACCCGGGGATGAGCCTTCAAAAATAAATGGCAAATAACCCGTTGCACTTTTGTACCTTTGCTGAATCTGAACGTATATATTTGCAAATCAAAATCAATTGCATAGATTATTAAAAATATACCATATATGCACATGATGCGTATACATGTGTTAACTTCCCATACTATTCTTGCTGCATAAAAAAAAATGCCATACTCCAGACAATCAGAGAACATATGAATATGGGTGATCTATCCTAGAAATGGTGAATATTATTACCCGGACATTTTAAAATTATTTTTGAAATAAATCTCCATTTACCAATAGGAAGAATTGATGTTCTAAATGTTGTGGTCCTTATATGTGCCAAAAAGTAAGAGACGGTTATTCTTCTTTTAAAGACAACTTACGTCAAGAATGTGTTGGCTGCTTCGGAGCGAGTTCCTTCCAATTACACAAACCGTTCCACCAGAACCGCCACCAGTAATTTTGGCTCCATATAAAGTTCCATCTTCACCTCTAGAGACTTTATCATGCTGCATTTCCTGCACCAACTGTACCAGTCTCTCTGTCCCATCAGAGCCGAGTCCACAAGCACTATAGCTGTAGTGGCACTTCAAAGGTAGTTTTGAACAACTATTACAATATACTTCACTTCAACTTTATATATAAAATTTATAAGGGTACATAGGTTGATCACTATTAATAGTTTTGAAGTTTACACTTTTACATGTAGATAGATGATAGATGATATACGTGTGTGTGTGTGTGTGTGTGTGTGTGTGTGTGTGTATATATATATATATATATAGAGAGAGAGAGAGAGAGTCCAGACCTAGTCAGAAAAATCATTATTCCATTATTTCATTTGGTTTACAGTGCCAGCAATATCACAAAAATATCTCACCAATATGTGTTCATCAAAGATGACATAGCTCCACACTAGGATAGGACTAATATCTCTTGATATCATAAAACTTATCTATGGTTCAGCTCTTTTCTTCTTGTTTCCTTAAGAGAGCTGAATTTTAATCAATTTGCAATCTTGATATTAGTTACTTGTAGAGTTGAAGCACTAGTCTGTTGATAACTGCTATGAATTCAATTGAAATTAAGACCTTTTGTATCCATTAAACAAATAGTTTTCCCTTACCCTGTTTCCTTAAACTGCAGGCATGCCAAAATCAGTAGTAAAAAATAATCTGACCCACCTATCAATTATTTAAAATAACACACACAGACACATCTATTAAAAAACCTTTAGCATATACCTGATACAACAACTCTCCAAGTGCCGTAAGTTGCTCATCTGAGCTCTCAGATGTCAGCAGTGCCTTAAAGGCCTACAGAAAAGTTACCAGAATAATTAGTTAAAAAGTTACAAGTGAAAGTAAACAAATAATTACCAAGGAAAAACATATGTCTGCATGTGTCTGGTAATTTGAAAAAAAAAAAAAAAGACATGATTCTGCACAAAATATTGTTCACTTGTCTTTATTTAAGTGAGAAAATCAACAAAATACAGTGAAGTTGCTATGACCAAAGAATAAGCAGCTATCAGAACTGAAGTATGTAAATCATCTGCCAGTTTGTTTATTGGAAGTGAATTGTTAATTGATGATAATCAAGAACTAGATCAATGGCTCAGCACCCTAAATGCACTCTAGGATTGATTTTTGAAAAGAAAAATATGTAAATTATGGAGGAAATAAAAAGGTTTGATGAAAACCTACAAGGAAAATCTAAACAGGGCCGTAATGAAGTAAATATATTATAACAACAACAACAAACTAAGTCTTATATCTCTTAACTCTAGAGTCACCTGTATGATAGGCCAATAAAGGGAATCATGTTAGGTCGTAGCTTTGAATCTTCTTACGCTGCTTATTTCTATCAACAATAACCTTTTCATCTTAATGATGTAAATATAATAACAAGGCAAATTATAATAATATCAGTTAGAGTGAGTATAAGACCAATATTTCCAAATTTTCATAGTGAAGATCGTATCAGTTTACAGGTTAGCAGAAAAATAAATCTGATCAGAGTGAATAGAAAATTTTATCTTGCAGAGGAACAGTTTAGTTATGTGAGCAAAATTTTCTATTGGATAATAACACATAAGTCAAAATTCAAATTGAAAGCAAATCTTTGATTGCTGGGATGCAAATTCAATTTGTTCGTAATCCAATAAGCTGTCAGATCAAATAACGAACCTTGACCCTGAAATTTTCATATACAGGATGCTTAGTAGCAGCTATCACTCCATATGTTCGTTTCTTATCAATTACAGTAACTGTATCACCATGATCAGTATATTTCTCCAAAAATGTCTCACCAAGCATTGATTTAGGAAGTAGTTTGCCATAAAGAGCTTCATATCTGTAGCACAAGAACAAACAAAAAAGTAAGGCTCTGACTGTTTTAATAAAATGTTTTTTGTTTTTATTTTTTATTTTCATTTTTTAAAAATAATTTTTATTTTCTGTTTTTTGTTTTCTAAAAATTTAGTTGGTAAATGAAAATAAAAATTGTTTTCTAGAAATGCAAAAAATAAGAAAATAAATAAAATATTCAATGATATTATTATTAATGGCATCTAATTATAAATATAATATATATTAATTAATTAACAACATTACAAAGTATTAAATATGATAGCTTGCAAAAAATAAGGAAAAAGTAATGAATATCCCTTGTTTTCACAATTGAAAACATCTTTTTTCTGTTTTCATATTTCAACCCATTTTTATTTTTATTTTCTAAAAAATTGTTTTCATTTTCAATTACTAAACATGTTTCACTCATATTTTTCATTTTTCAAGAAAATGAAAATAAAAAATGACTCTATTTTCTAAAACCAAACACTACCTAAATTTTTATTTAAGATTATAACCAGAAAAGAAACACAGACTTTCATAAGTAATAACAACAGTAATAGTAATCAACAAAAAGTGGTTCTTCACTCTTTAATTAATTAATAGCATCTAGAAAAGATCAAAAGAGAGAGCCTGATAAAAGACTATTACCTGTGAGGTGACAAGTTGCATAAATAATCTAATGAAGCTTCAATTTCAAGTAATTCTAATCCATCATTGTCCAATTCATCAGGAGATACCCCATTAGCAGTTGACAGTGATTGAGACAATCTAGTAGATGCTATAGCTTTTATCATCTTCCGACCCATAAAGGCTCCTATTCTCACAGATCCATAGTCTGCACCTCCAACACTGCCACGTTAAAACAAAAACAAAAAGACATGAGAATTTCTATTGGAAGGAAAAGGTCAGTCCAGAGCAACTGAAGGTAATGATAACTATTAAATGCATTATAGCAAGCAATGTTTCAAAGATCATGGATAACTAGAAGGTAAATAATTTTATGCATGTTTTAGAGTGAAATATGAAGGGTAACTGATTTTAAATTATATTTGTGTTAGTATAGTCAAATTTTCTAATTCTACGATCCAAACACTGAATGATGCAAGTAATTAACTTAACATAATTATCCAACAAGCATGAACTGTAAACAATGTCCATTGCTACTATAGGCTAACCAAAAACACATAATAATAATAATAATAATAATAATAATAATAGACCGCATTAATTGACCCAGTACCTGTGCCGTATTCCAGAATCAATTCCCCAAAATCGGATATGACTGGGAATTGCTACAAGTCCAATTATCTCAGCAGGCTGCATAAGACAATCATTGATTTTGAATGTTAATTAACCAGCAAATCAACTTCTGCATAGATTTACTCTGCAGCAATAATGATGCTTACCTGGCAAACCATTGCAAGTAATTTATTTGCTTCACCACATGCTGAAGTCATTTGGTCCATAACACCACATGGGGCTCCTACAATGTGATTCTCCACCTAATAAACAACTAAAAAGAATGAGCAAAGCAACATATATGCTTGAAACATGTCTGCTGGAATGTAGGAAGAAAATATTAATCGGAAGATTGCACTGTCTAACATACCTTTTGGCACAGAAGGGAAAGGTCTCTTGGACTGATGCTCAATCCTGCAATGTATAAGATGGTCTAAATAAGTTCTCACTCCAGAATAAAGATACTTTATCTGCCTGTAACCCTCGGAAAGCTAACTTTTATATGATAATGCTTTGAGAAACTTAGAAGTTCAACAGGAAAGTATCAAATGTTCAAAATATTTCACTAGTTTAACTGAAAACATTGCATTTGGAAAAAAAAATTGAAAACAGTGCATGAAATCCACAACAAGAATGATTCAACAGGAGTTGATATTAAGAAGCATATGTACTCCAAAATCTACTATCCTATAGTAGTCAACCTCCGTTCAAAGATTTATATGCTTCTCAAATTATGTATTCCAGCAAATGGTGGCATTAATAAAGACTTCATCCATTTATTTCTATGTAGTTATAGTCCTCATGTATCTCAAATACAAAGTACATCCATCAGAAAATACTGTTTTTCAACTAAAATTACAGCCATTTTTGTCATATGTAGAAAAAAAAAAACAGGGAAATGTAATAAACATCGTTGTAGTTGCATATGGAAAATGAAAAATTTAGGAATACCATGAGCAGCTGCTATAGCTGACATGCTAGCAACTTCCACAGAGGCGGAAGAAGATACACCTTTGCCTTCTGGGACTGCAGAAGAAACCTGTATGTAGCTGAAAGTAATTATCTAGATAGTAGCAGCAGCACATGTGATAATATAACAGAGAGACGTTGGTTAAGTAACTTGTAATATTAATTTCATACAAAAACAGAGCCAATTCACCCTTAAACTTTAGTAGCAAAGTATCACATGTAAACGGTGAAGTTATATGATTAAACACAATATATAAGCAGGCCCCATTGATAGTCAATTCAAAAGCATACATAAAGTTTAGCTCATTTCCCATCCCATTATACAAGCAGAAAGCCCACTCATACTTCATGAATTTCTTTTCTATCAAACTAGTAGTACAATTTAGGCATTTCAAGTAAACAATAAGGTTATGAAATTAAATGCTATATGCAAGAGGCCCTGTCAAACATCAATCAAATTAATAAAAACAGCTAAACAACAAAGAAAACAGCCTCTTACCAGCATGCTGATACTATCTTCAAAGCGTAAACCTAATTCTTTCATCAAAACCAAAATTGTCCCAGCAACATATGCTGCCCACCTGATATGTGAAACACATAATTAGCGTATAAAGTAACAAAGGTGGAAAAATCAAGGAAGGAAAAGTACCCACTTTTGGGACGGATCTTGGGCAAAGTATTTCTTTGCCTTTTCATATGAAATTGGTTGATCTCCTTCCATAAAGTCAGACAAATCCATGTCAAAAGTTGGGCCACGATTGCTCAACTCTGAGCCATATGATACCTGTTAGAACAATTGGAGCTTAGAATGTATTTCACAAAATGCAACAAGTAGATCATTTCTATCTAAAAGTACATGTATATTATTTTTCTTTTCCAATAAAAACTTTGTTTGATTAGGATTTAAGACTAATGTGAAGAATTCCAGCACATAAATTTCCTATCAATTTTGAAGGAGGATTGGGGGGATGTTTTATTTAACATGCCATCCTCATTCCCTTAGAAAACAATAAAATTATGCAATCTATGTTCGTGAGAAACAAGTTCATTTAACTAATGGTATATACAATTTGCAAAACAGGCATTGGTCCTTGTCCTTTTGCATTCTGCCGTGCAAGTGCATGTTTCCAGAGCCGGTGTTTACTTGGATGATTCCTTTGCACAGCTACATGGCAGGCTTCCTTTATAGGCATCTGTCAGAATAGAAATGATTAAGGGGGGAAAAATTAGAGTTAATTCCATTTAGATACATTAATAAATATTGACGCAAGTACTTGAATTTTTAATGCATTATGCAATTTAACTTAAAGGGAAGGAAAAGGGGGAAAAAGGAAAGAAACCGAGTGAAATTCTATAGAAAGAAAAATATAACCTGCAATACTAGGCTGCCTGAGTAATCTGCAATGCCTCCCATAACATCCAACCTTCCAGGTGCCCTTGTCACAAAGATATCCTCCTGTAGAAAAACATCACAGTAATCAAGAACTTATAAACAAGACTGTTGCCTGAAGCAGATCCAGTTTTAAAAGATCAGGATAGAACAACAGTTATTTAGCCTATCTATCAGCAGCCTTTCACACTAAAAGGATTCAAACAAGAAACTATTTAAGTCCATCCAGAACCAATGTATTGCATGAAAATAGAATTATTTTTGCTCAATTGCATGAAAAATTTACTACATAGGTTAAAAATGTGACTGAATGATAGTATGACTCTACAAGTATAGATTAAATTTTCACATGTTCCTAGCCCAAAAATTTTCATAGGAGTACCATATCATGTAAATCATCATTTGAGACAGCTGCTAATAATGCAATCAAGTTAAGGATATGCAGGGTAGGAAAATTTTTTAAAATTGTAAAAAGAACAAATTTAAGTTGGAATGAGCATAACCTCCCAATTAAAAAGCCCAGCAGCAGCCTTACGTTCACGCATCTGACGCTTCTCATTATTCTTTTCAGAATCAGAAACATTGTTAAGTTCTACCAAGCAATTTAGGAAACTCATTGTATCAGAAAGACCTTGAAGATCTCCATGAAGAATTTCAAAGTCTTCAATGCATCTAGAAAAGAAATGGAAATGTGTCAAAAAAATGACATAATTGAAATCCATCATAATCATTGATTAGGATAGATAAAACTCACAAATCTGTAATTGAGTTGCTCTCACTCATCTGAGAAGTTAGCGTTCCAGCACTTAAACCAAGTTCATTTTCAGCATTTGTATACCATTCAGGAATACTGACATCTCTGCCAGGGACCCTTTGCAGTTGATACCCAAGAATTATGGCATCACGCAACCTTCTAGCACCACTCAACTATATAAGGGAATAAATGAATCAGATAGCAATTTAAGGAAAAAAAGTTGCTTAAATAAAGTTTAAACTACCAGTCTAGACGGCTATTCTAAGCAGAAACTTTTAAAACCTGTAATAGCTTATCTATGAGTGCAGGTCTCTATCCGCATTCTGCCATAATATCACTCTGCTGTTCCAGAGTATGTAAATTTGACTCCATTAAGGGCAATCTCAGGCCATAAGAACTGCCTTCATAGCCAAGATGATTTGATTTCTGCTTATTTTCTTAGCATTGTAAGCATAAGGTACCACTAAAATCACCATAAAACAATATCCATTTTGACATGCATGCATGATCATGAAATAGATCTCTCCTTTAAAACAACAGGAGAAAGGAAAACTATTCAACTTGCAGATAATAAAGTTCCTGTATCTGACTATTCCTCCAAAATATAAACAACATATCAAAATCATCCTGCCAGTGCATCAAGCCAATACGCCTCCTGATAACCCCAATATATTCTACAATATCCCTACACAAACTGTTGTTACAAACTTATAAAAAGCAGAACTTTGTTCCATCCATGATTAGAAATTGAACTAATACATCTCAAAGATTAGGTAGGATGTTCTGTTTTGGGCTACAACAAGATTCAGAGTTCAAGTAACACAACTAAGAGCAGCAGTTATGATGTACCTTATCTGAAGCGTAATTCTTGCCAATAGCTGTCTCCTGCAAGATGTGAGCTGCCACCTAAAATTTTAACATGAAATCAGCATGGTATCAATAAAAGATTAAAGTACATGAGATAAATGATTATATGGGCACTACAAGTAAATGACACCTAGAAATACCTCAAACCCACCTTTTAACAACCAACACAATTAAAACACAGAAAAATAAATAAAAAAGATTTCTATTTCCAAAAAGTCAATATATCTGTAATTAAGTTAAATATTTGTCGTATGAAATTTTTTTGTGATTCTTTGCAGGTAGAGGAAATAAATATCTTTTTTTTTTATAAGTTGTGCTTTATTTATCCAAAGAAAATAGGAGTCTGCTACAATACAACTACAACCCTCACACTCCACCACAAACTAGTATACAATAACATTCACTATTTACATAGGAGTCAATATATTGGTGTTAATATTCCAAGCAGCACACAAGTCCTTATTCACTGAGTCAGCAAAAATTGAATGCAAGCCTTTTAATTGATTCTACTAGGCAGTGAAAATAAATATCTAGAATTTAATGTTCATATTTTTAGTTTTCATCTCCCAACTGCATGTATTTATTAGTTTTCATCAACACAACTTTTTTACTGTATTTATTAGCTTAAATTATTTTCCCCATTCAAAGGCCTAACAGAATGCTCACCCGTATTTATCAAAAAAAAAAAAAAAGACTGGTCGCCCATAATTGTTAAAGTTCACTGCCTACTTCAAGTTAAGCTTATTTCCTATGTTCAAATTTCGTATCATCACCTGATCATGTCTACGTGAGTAGTAGATTTTACTATCAATAATTTAGATAAGCTAAAAAGTATATTTATATGCACTGCTCCTGTTTATAATTGCATAACTCAAACAATTCAGATATGCAAAATGTTTAGAAAATTAATAAACTAAAGAAATGATAAAAGATACCTCGCCACCATTGATGCCTCCCTCATAGCATGGTTTCAAACTGATTGCACGTTCAAGATAGGGTTTCCAATGACCAGTAAGTAAATCCCTCCTAATCATCTCAACACCACTTTGATAAAACTGTATAAAAGAAAGTGATATCTTAACCAAATACTTGATTATTTGTTTTAAATATTCAAAGTTCTTAATAAAAATAAGGATCTGATTCTTCTAAAAAAAAGACATGAAAAAGGAGAGGTGATTGAAATGAAGAAAGTAGATGAAAAGAAAGGCACCTCAAGCATATTTCTTAAGAAGGGTTCCTCATTGAAGTAATCTCTTCGTACAAAAACAAAGGGTAACTTATACGCCAAGGCTTCACTAACAGTACCATATCCAATTTTTCCTGAAACAATGGAGATCCTATTGAATATTACTTCTCACTCATCTAATACAGTTTTGCCTCAAGAAAAATTTCAAACTAACCAAGCATACAGTCAGAGGCTGCTATAAGGTCAGGCGTATATGCATCTTTTGGAAGCTTAACAAAATTAGGTGGAAGATCCTGGGTATCAGAAGCACCACAAACCTGGATCAAAAAACAAAATTCAAGATTACCACATAATGCCACACACTATGATTATGTAAGAGCAACCTGAAGGGACAATGAATGGGCTATAAAAGATACCAGGCACAGCCAATCAGAAGGTAAGTACTCTTCCTTCAATTTCCACCCTGCAGGCTGTATGTAAGCAACCGAGAGAATAAGTGCACTTCAAAATGAATAAATATCTTAAAATCCTAGTAGAACTGCAGAATTATCTAAAAGATTGGCACAACAGCACAAATCCAACTAAAATTTAGATATTTTATCTGCTACATATCTTGCCACATATAAATGATGCAAAAATATAGAACTTCACTCAAACAGTTGTCTGTTGACACATCAAAAGTCATTCACAATGACATAAAATAGATTCTCCAACACATTTCACTTGTTACTCTATTTTTAACATAATAAACATATTCTCTGTTAATTGATGGTTTGGTTAATAGCTAAACTATCAAGTTAGTATAACATAATAAATGCATTTTAGGTTAACTGATGGTTGAGTTAATAGCTAAACTATCAAGTTAGTATAATCACCCAGCAAACAGCAAGAGCAGCATATTTACAGCTGTTAAACTATTTGCACATATTATGCTCAACCGGCAAATACAAGTGCTTCATGTGTTCAGCTGTTAAACAATTTGCACAATTGATCAATATCTGAATAGCCACTAACTACTTTAGCAAACTTTTTTAGAAATGATTATTCAAAAACAATGATACTGCATGTTTATGGGCACATCCAATATAGGCTCTCACCAGCAAAGTCACAAGAGAAAAATGATGAAGAAATACCATAAGGATAAAAGGTATGTAGTCCAACTCTCAAGAGAGAAGGTGAAAGCCAAAATTTTATACCACAAAAGGTTCCTATCCATAGAAATTATAACCAAATGGTCCACAAATATAATCAAACAAAAAAAAAATCCTTATGAAGAGGACAAATCTTGAATAGATAACTTAACTTACCTGTCCACCAAAGTTGAGAATAACTAGCTTCACATCCTCGCCAATTCCAAGTTCCTTTCTCACCTAGAGCCAACAGAAAGGGGGAAAGAGCAATGCATTGAAAACTTAGATCAAGATGTAAATTAAATCATCTAAAAGGTAGAGTTACTGCCTTGTTCCAACCTCCTTGCGAGATTTGTGCAACCTCCTTACAACTAGAGGAACATCAATAACATCACGGAAAGCAGGCACTGTGGAAACATAGGACATTCAGAGACCAATGATTAGACTTCAAACAATTTATAATCAAGAATGAAAGCATAAGAAATGATGTCTGTATACATACTTGGACAGTATCCTGGGAGACGGATTAGAAACTCACAATGAGAATAATCCTCTGCTATCTGCATCAAAGTTTAAAGAGATTAGTACAATTACAAACATTGAAATAATTGTCACAGAAATGTAACACTTGGATGCTTTTGTGTGAAAATAACCACCTCAAACAATCAGTGAGCCTCAAATGTTTTAAAGGTATTACCGAACTAAAAGCAATCAAGTGTACACAAATATTGGATGCAAACAACATGAATGACATGTTTTAATATGTGATTTTTATTTCTCTGCTAACAACATTCACAAGATGGTAATCACTTATATGCGTATATTTATGCAGAACTAAAACAAATTCAGTGGAAAAACGCCTAATTACCAACAAAAATACCTCCTTATGACAGAAAAAGGAAGAAAGCAGAAAGTATTGGAGTCAAACAAAAGGAAGACATTTATCACCTGCCAAACTATTGAACGATGGTGATATCCAGCAGCCATCACATACTCAGCATAAATGAAGTCCCAGCTGCAATCACAGATGGATATAGATTAACAAATGTTTGCAAACAATTTTTTTTTTTGCTTCTGACCTCAGATACAGATTAAATTCATATAAAGGTGCACTTCTTCGTTGAAAAGAATGTCAAGGTAATAAGTTACCTGAAGTTGGTAACACAGACTGAGCGAATTCCAGCTTCAGCTGCTGCCCGGCATGCAACTGGAACAACATCTGAAACCTGTTCTCATTCATCAAACAAAGTTGGTTTTAATTTGGAAGACATATTAAATATTACTCATCAAGATACTCAATTTTAAGTCTCTTTTCCATTTTGTTAATTATAATGGCTATATAAAAGGTTCAAAGTCCCAATTTGATTCAAACACTTAAAGGAAGGAACATCAAAGTACGAACCACTAAGTCAGCTTTGATGGAGTTGAGCCACACTACTTCTGTTGCCAAAATAGAATCCCGAGGTTGCACAGCTGTTTCAGAGTACTAAAATATAAAAATTAAAAAAAGAGAACTAGAAAATATTAGAAAATCCAACTTTAAAAAGTACAAACAAAGGGGGGAAGGTAATAATAGCAAGTAAATATAACTCAAAATATGATATAAAACCGAACTCAAGCTATAATATGGTTACGTTGGGACTACGACAATATGTTGTATAAAAAATAGAATAACTAAAAAAAAATTGAAATACCTTCTGCAGGGAGGCAAGACGATCCACGGTCAATGCATCTGCCTGAACTGCTCCACAGTCTAAAACTAGCTGATCATATCACGGAGAGAAATTTAGTTTAGTATAAGAGAGCTCGCACAGGAAGACAATTATTGAAGGAGTTATCTATCCCTAACATATTCATCCGTATTATATTTAATTATATGGAATATAATACGAGGGGGAAATAAAGAGAGGTTATTGAGGAAGGGGAAAACCCTGCGAAGGAAGAGGCGAGGGGATTGAATTTCAGAAGTGAAAACGAAGTCAGGTGCACCGGTGACGACGTGCACATCATGCCCCGCCGCAATCAGATTTCGAACAACCTACAACAATCAATTGACAGCGGTTATGATCTGCCTAGATCAACGTCTTGCCGAATTTAAGGAATTGAGAACAAGGACAAGGGCAAACAAAAATAAAAGAAAAAGAAAAACCTCGACAACACGAGTGGCATGGCCGAAGCCATGACCAGTGACATAGTAGGCAAAGACGATGTGCTTGATGGATGCACACTCTCCTCCGTTGTCTTCAATCCTCATATCTAAATTTTGATGAATTCTCGAGACTTTGCTTGGAATTCTGTTTCAATTTAACATTAATATCACAAATCAAATAATAAAACAATGTGTCAGCTAAAATCGTGGATAGAGACGCGTACGCAAGTACTAGATGACGATTTAAGACTCCCGACACTTTTACTTTTTTTTTCCAATTTTTTAGGATTTGACAAAGTAAATCTTTTTGAGGAACAAAATTTTTAAAAAAATAAAAATTTCCCTTTTTTTTTTATTATTATCAATAATAAGTCAAAACACTTTCAGTTTCAGTTGAGTACGCCAACACTTCCGGCCTCCGTCCATTCTCTTCCTTTGTTTTCTCAACAACCACCGAGTTTAAAATAAAAAATTAAAAAAAAAAACCTAAAAATTTGTCACTGCCACGCAAGCCAACTTAACAGCCCTTATCCAATTTTGTTTTCTTTCTCTTTTGGCAATATTGTCCCCTTGATTTTGTCATCGTATTGAACATATGATATTTTATATAAATATATATAAATTAAAATTTTTGACAAAAATAAAAATTATTCAATATAGATAGTTTATATTATTAATATGTAAATAATTTTAAAAAATTTTCATGTTTATTGTTTTTAATTATTTTAATTTGATTTCTTATAAATGTTATTTATTTAAAGGATTTATTTTGACTAAATTAAATATATTTATCTTATATAAATATATATAAATCAAAACCTTTAATAAAAAAAATAATTCATCGTGGATACTTACATTTTTATATGTCGATGTGTTTAAAAAATTATATGTTTTTTAATAAATGTATTTTATTTATTTAAAATATTTTTTATAGTAACATTTTTATTACTTGAAAAATAACGAGTTAAACTCAATTAATTACATTTCAAATATGTAATATTTTAACTTATATGAATAAATTACAATTAATTTGATCAATAATACAAATAAAAATAGAAACTAAATAAAAAAGTAATTACTCATGAATATATTTTCATATCTTCTAATTATTCATGAAAAATTAAATAAAATTTAATGTAATAAATACAAAAAAAGAGAAATTAGTCATTTAACGGATTGACAATAGTGATATCATTAAATTATAAAAAATTATTTGTTTTAAATACAAATTAAAAAAGAATTCATAATTTATAATTTTAAAGAAAAAATGCATTGATTCCATGTTTTTTATTACATATTACATTATATGATTAATAATAGTAACTTTTTAATATATTTATGATAATGTCTCTTGATAGCAATATAAATATAAATATTTTTTCAGAAATAATATTAAGCAAATCGAATTTAACTATTTTTCAACTTTATTTTACTACAATTTTTGTCTCTATTATCTTATAAAAAATTTATTTAAGAATCTTACTTACTATTCTTTTGTAAGTTTATTGAAGTTTTACACTTTCTTTTTTTTTAATGCAATGGTTAGTTTTTATTTTTAAAATAATAATTTTATCAACTACATATTTGAGTATAAATTTTTCTTTTATAATTTATAATTTAAAGATAAATTTTTAATTTATATATATATATATATATATATTTTGAATGTGATGTTATTAGAGAATTCTTTTATTTTGCAAAGTTTTAATTAGCAGAGGCTTAACGATTTTGTTTTATTTTTTAAATTTTAATGAATAAAGCGATGCTGATAAAGGTTATTCCCAGATATGTTTCTAGCTTACAGTCAGAAGCCAGCTCTTCTTCAAATCGACTGGAGTAGAGGGAAAAAGACCGACTCTTTACTTTAGCATCCCGAAGAGTTCCATTTTTAGACGTAAGGGGTGTTAATTTGTAATTTTTATTAATCTTATAGAAGTGGAATAAATTCTTCAATTTTATGAAATTTGTCAGTTATTTCATTTAACAAGTCTTAAAATTTTGAAAATACTCAAACTACAATTGAAACTTTTATACCCAATCTTCTATATTTTTTTATATTTTTTATTTTAGGTAAACATTCTTAATTTAATTCCTTTTTTTAGATAAATAGACATTTCAATATGTCATGTGAAAATGCCACTAATTTATAACAAAAACACACATACAATATTGAAATAAAAATACCAATGATTTGGTTTTTATGTAAGTTCCACTACTTTAAAATATAAGATACATATATATATATATTAATACAAATCCTTAATGTATTCAAAGAAAACATACGTACAATTAAGTTCTAAATTTAATATATTAATGTTACAAAAAAAAATGTCCCATGATTAATATCAAATTTTAATTTCATATTAATTTTTAAAATATGTAAATTTATCTAATTAATTATTTATATGTCCCCTCCAAACTAAGTGAATATATATGACATTTGATTTAAAGTAGTAAATATATCTTAGATATTTAATGCAGATTTATAATCTTAGAAGGAGGAGAGAATTTTTAATTGTTATAAGCAAAAAATAAAATTATTGATTTTACCCATTCTTTTAGAGAAGCAAATTATATTGCTGATTTTTTAACAAATAAGAGAGTGAAAAAAATATAATTATTTTATGTTTGTTGGTAGTAGAATCTAAGGGGTTAGATTGCGAGCATTTTTTTTTTCTTTGAGAAATTAGATTATGTGTATTATTATGTGTTATTATAATTGTTTTTTTGTTTATGCATTGAAGTCTTCTTTTGATGAGATTTTTAAGTTCTATATTCCTTTAGTTTTATGAATGAAATTATCTTTTTGATTGAGAAAAAAAATCTATATCACACTTTTTTATTTTGTACTTTTATAGCTTTACTTTTAATACTCAAATCAATGTTATCTATTAAATTTTAAATAAAAATGATGATAAAAAATTATTTAGGGTGACTTTTATTTTTATCAATTATTATCAATATATTTGTAATCATGAAAATAAAATTTAATTTGTCCTCTAAAATGTAATTATATTAAAATTTGAAATAATATTATATTACAAAAATTATTATAAATACACTTGCCCCATGCATAGCACTAATATAAAACTTTTAATTTTTAAAAAAGTAATATTTGACTATTAATTTTTTGAATTAAAAAATAATAATAATTTTCTTTATCTTAATTTTTTTGAAATTACATAATATTCTTAAATATTTTATAGAAATCAAAACTTGACTTTCTAATGTTATAAAAAAAGTAGATATGTTAAATACAATCATATATTTATTATGCTAATATAGACCTTTTAATATTTTATTTATATATATTTTTAAAACTAATATACATAACGAAAATTATAATCGCTTCCTTACCCATGCATAGCATGGGTTTAAAACTAGTGATTTATAAAGCTATATGAAATTAAAGTAGTGATATTCTGTTTAAATTATGTTTAAATTAGGTTTTAAGTGAAAGAAAAGCTCATTTCTCTTTTAACTTTATTTGATTTTATTAAAATTCATTATGGAGATGTTTTAACTTTTTCACGTTTTTGTAGAAAATGAATATAAACAAAAAGTAAAAGAAAAAAACAAATGAATAGAAATTAACGAAAAAAAAAAAGCATCTATCAAATAGAGTTAAAATTTTATTTTTATAATAAATTTTACTTAACTTTAATTATAAGTGCTTATGTACATTAGTAAGAAATAGCCTAATTTGAAACCATTTTAAAAAAATTATAGTACTTGATAAAAAAAAAAAAGACTCATTTGGATTTGGATTTGAATAGACACCATCCATAACACAAATTTGATTATCATTGTAGTAATTAGTATACTTGCAAAATAAATAAAAAAGTAATGAAAAAAATTAAAATGAGCGAAAGGCCCAGATAAAACGGGCTTAACTTGACTGGATCCAAATTGGAAAATCCCGTTCCATCCCAGTAGAGTCCAAACAGTAAATGAATGGCAGGAAGAGGGCAAAGTCGTCAGTACGTGTTTTTTTTCTAGGCTTAGGAGAAAGGAAGGGTTTTGCCTTCAGGCGTGGCGGCTAATCGATATATGAATATGATCATCCATCCCTATTCACCTCGTTGCGCAGAGTTAGGGTTTGCACTTAGCGGCCTTCAACTCTCTATTAATACCCAGTCGAGGAAAGACCCCATCTGCTTCTTTTCTTTCTTTCTTTAAATCTTCTTTTCCTTTTTTTTTTTATTATGAAAAACGGGGCTGAAGTTTGGCTCTTTGGCTAAAACCAAAATCGTGCCAAGGAGATGAATGCGGCTCCCCATATCAAAGCCTTCAACCTTGTCACCAAATTCAGCTATGATAAATATCCATCTAGCGGATTTCTTTGATAAGGCTGGCACACTTCTTTTTATTGAATCTTTTTTTTTTTTTTTTAAAGAGTCAAGATTGGGTATGCCACTGCGAGTAGTAATTCAGGCAGCCTCCTTGTGATCACCATGGCAATGGGGGTGTTGAACTGCTCGCATATTAAACATGGCTTTTGCTCTTCAGACTTGCTGAGATTATTCCTTGAAGCTGGTCTAGTAAGCCTAAGCACATTCCTTCTCTTTCTTCGAGTTTTTCCTACCACTCGACTTAGCCTTCGTGGTTGTTCGTATGGGAAACTTGATTGGGAGAAGCTTATTTCAACGTAATCTATCGGTTAATCAGAGCAATTCAGCGATTCTTTTGTTTTAAAATTTTGGTCAATATTGAATTCAAGTTAAAAGATGGTTGATCAACGATAGGGGATGAAGATTCTGTTTAGGCTAGTCGGACTAACCAGAACCAACATTCGTTATAAACGCTTGATCTCGACCGGATTCCACAAAATGTCAAGTTGAATTCAAATACAATTAGTCAGAATCCATAATCCCTGAAGCAGAACCCTAAGAGGTAATATATTGCTGAATGCTGATACAGACAATTATCTAGCAGAAAAATATCAGCCTTAGATGAAATCTACAAAAGTTCATCTTAAGAAAAGACTATGGTATCATCTAAACCTGTTTAGGGTATTCGTTGCCCATGACCCCTATATGTGCATACGTCGTTTGGAAGGGCAAATCAAGATCACCAAAAATCCCATTTTGTGCATCTGCTTAGATTCTAACATCACCTCAACTTATACCACAAAATCAGACGCTACGGCAACTTAAACAATTTGTTACCAAGTAACTGGGTTATACATGCTCTGAGAGAACTGTGGCATCAAACAGTGCTGTTTCTGTTGCTGTTGCTGCCAGAGCTCAAATGCTTCAGCTCCTTCCAACATTTCACCATCCTGAAAAGCTTTCCCTACTATGGTACTTACACTGTTGTCGTCTGTATCCATCATTTCACCCTCCACATCTTCTGCTTCCATTGGCTGCAATGGGGCAATGGTTCCTGTCTCCGTTCCAGAGGTTAATAGAAGTTGAGGTGCAACCCAGGGAACAACAGCCAAGCAGTCATTTGGTTCTGTAGTGCTTCCGTTGCCTGTTACTTTATTCCACATTGATTTCACTGCACCCGGATCCTGGGGCCAAAATAAACAATCTGCCAACACAAAGATTAGTTTACTACTAACATATATACAAGGACCCAGATTCATCAATGTAAAGTGTTACTCTTTTTTAATCTTTGGATAACAATGGCTAAAATTTAAAATATTTATTTAGATCCAAATCAAAATGAAAACAAATTCCCGTTGAATAGGTAAAAAGAAAAAGAACCCTTCAGAAAAGAAATTGGAACAATCCTTGTTACTGCTTCTTACTAACACAAAGCAAGAATCTTCCATTCTTTGGCAATAGGAAGAACGAAACAAATGGGTTGAACATAAAAAAGCAGCAGAATTACACTGTTAGAGTTATTGACATCCTTTGTGGAGCCAGATTGAACATATAAAGCAGCCAATGTTGTAAAAAGGACATAAAATACAAAGATCAAAACATATTTATATGCCATATAACCTAATAGCTTGGATAATGTGGTAAAGAGAATTATACTAACCTTATGAATAATGAATTTATCTTTGCTAAAACCAACAACAAAAACTCTTGAAAGAAAGCATTTGAGTGAATACAAACTCTGCGTTAACAACAATCTAGTACAAAGGGTGCAGAAAAGGTTATTTTGTGAAGCAAATTAAAACTTTGTTATTATGCTAGGTTCCCGTATTCATTAAAAACAATGCAATTGTAGCATGAAGTACCTATATGTTACAGGCTTACAGTAATTCCCCAAAGACTTTGACATGTTATCCATTATGATGCTACAATTTAAGTATTATTTTTCATTTTTTTCTTACCCTGTTGTGCCCTAACCATTTATATTTCCTTTGTTAGAGGAAAATAGCAACAAACTAGAAAACTGATGCCTGCCTCTATATCAATATCTACAGTAGCCAACCACTAAATATGGATAATCTTGGATTTGAGGTGAAGAGAAAGAAAGACTAGCTTCTTCAACAATTCATGGAAAAAAAAGTGTGTGTGCGTGGGTGGAGGGGGGGCCAAACTGGATGATCAGCATTTGGAACAGTGATTCACAGAATTTTATGGTACATTACAATGCTGAGAGCAAACAGAAATTTACCAACATAGTCAGTTAACAGCAGGAGATAATTTAAGAAGAATATGGAGAGTGAGGTTTATATACCCTTTAAACCTGGAAAGAAGTCGGAATTGATGATGATGGAGAAGTCTGGCGAAGTAGGAGATTTGAAGAAAGGGGTGCTGGATGGATTATAAAGCACGATAGCCCTGTCTTGGGATGAAGGCATTGTATTTGCATCTATAGATGGGGCATTACTAGTGGTTGGAGTTGGAAGGGGCCTCTGTTGATATTCCAGTCGCAAAGGAGCCCTAATACTTGGATCCTCCTCCGTGATTGATAGCAATTGACAACCATCCTTTAGAAATACATAAAACAAAGAGGAATTATTATTAGTATAAAATTAACTTTGGAGATTTGTTTGTGTCAGAACAGAGGGCAATGACTATAGAAAACATAATGAAAGATACACAAACAAGGTATTCAATTCAATTCCAATCCACTAAAGGAAGGCAATTAGTATTAAATGTAAACGATAATGAAGAGATTCATAATGATTAATCATTCATCCATGGGGTGGAAGGGAACAAATTCCAGAGTTTCTGGGGCATATAAAAGAAAAATAAATAAAAATAACTAAATTAAAACTAGAAAAGGGGGAAAAACGCACCAGTCTCATAGCTTTTGTGGAGCGTGAAGGGAAAGACAAATCATCATCAATAATATCGTGGAACTCCTTGCGCTTCATGGAGAGTCAGAAATATTATTATGATAACTATTAGTACTTATGTTCGTCTTCTTCTTCTCCTCGCTACTCTCTCTCTGGAAACTGCTTTCTTTGGCCGGCTTTCGTTTTTGCGTCTTAATTTAATTATATAAATAAATGAATGGCTCCCATCCCAGCTCCCTGGTTTACTTTTCCTTCTCTTTGGGCCTGGGCTTGACGTGAAACCCTGATCCTGAGCTTACTCTATATTGCTATTACTATTTTATTATTATTAATTTTTATTTTTTATAAGACACTTACTATTAGTACCACTAATGTAGTATTCCTGTGTATTTGTTTGAGTGCCATATTTTATTTTGTTAATTAATTATTCAATTAATTATATTAATATAATATTTTATTATAATTGTAACTCTATCTTTTTTTTTTTTGTAATTTTCGTATTAAGATGTATTAGAGATGTAAATGAGTTTATACACTTGTAATCTACTCAAACTCGATTTCAAAATATTCAAATTTCACTCAATCACTGGTTAAGTTTTAGCTTGAACAATTTAAGTTACGAAGTAAGTTAAATTTAAATATTTTAATATTTGACTTGGATAATTTGTGAGATTATTTTAATTTTTTAATTTTTAATATTTTTATAATATTTTATTATATATAAATAATTTATAATTATTTTTTGTAATTTTACTTGCGATATATATACAAAAGTTTTTAATTTATTTTAAATTTGAACTCAATTTCAAATTCAAGTCTAAACAATGAAATTTAAAATCAAACTCAATTTCTATTTTCAGTTAAATATAAAGTAAAAAATTAAAATTCAATTGAACTTAAATTTATCCATATTTTGGCTCAAGTTAGTTACATTTTTAAACTCTATTAATTAGTATGCATTAATTTAATTTTAGCTAAGCATTCATTCTGTCAAAATTTTAAACTCTTTAATTGCAACACTAGTTTAACTTTTAGGACATCGAATATTCTTTAGGGTTGATTTCTTGTACTTTTGAATAATACTATAGGTTAATATTAATTAATTAATTAATTATATATACTGTCTTTGTATAAGATGTGATTTTTTTTAACATATATCTTAAAATGAGTGTCATATTTCCAATTTAACAAAAAAAAAAACTTACATTAATTTTGAAAAACAATTCGCATTTAAAATTTTAAATATTTTAATTAAAAAATTTTTGTAAATTCAATTAGCATTGTTAGTCTTGAATTGATTAAAAGTTTTGAATTGATAAAACAAAAATTTACCTAACTTGAATCAAACTCTCATAATCTCAAATTGAATATTTTTTTCAGCCTTCTATCTTACCAAAATTCATTTAGGAACTAAAACAAGCAAATGTTAGAAACAAAACGGTTTTATGACATGTTTTGGATAGAAGGGATAGATCCTCCAATGGGCGGGTTGATCTCCTCCCTTACCTGATCAATTCCCTGGTCAAAAGAATTGATCCATTTTTCTTCTAGTAGCTAAATTTGTGAAAATTCATCAAGAACCAATTGATCCCCTCCCTGTAGGGATTGATTGGTTAGGGTTTGAATTTACTTGATCGATCCCTCCTTTAAAGAGACTGATCTATTTTTTATATAGAATACAAAATGGGGTAAAAAATCAACAAAAGGGATCGATCACCTAAGCACTGGATCAATTAGGTATACTACCTGATTAATCGGGTATATGTTTTCTCACACAAAATTGGGCTTTTCTATAACTGACCCAATTGATCCCTTACATGAGGGGATTGATCCCCTGATGCCTAGAAAGCCCTAAAAGCTATTTTCTTGTATGATATTTTACAAGTTTGAAGCATTAATTGTAAAACAATGGCTATCTAATCTTTTTTACATATAAATGAAGGCTCCCACTACAAATCAAATGTATGAAAAGTTAAGAGAACTTATTGCCTCCACCAACCATTTTCGTCAAGCATTCATACCAATTTAAAGAGAGAAAAATGCAAAAAATCCCTTATTGTATCAGTTTTTTCTCTTAATCCTCTTGTCAACATTGCTTTGTACTTCAAGTTAGCAAATACCTAACCTTAGAGAGGTTTTTTAAATTTACAAAATACTTCAGAAACTTTGGATTGTGAAATTATGAGCTTAAAGGGGAGGATAATCTTTAAGAGTTTGTGATGTTGATTGTGTAAAGCTTTGAGAAGCTAGGTTGTAACTTTCAACACATAGTGGATTGAACTCTTTGGCAATTGAAGCTAAGGGAAATGATGTAAGTGCCTAAAGAAGGATCGAACCTCTATAAATCTTGGTGTCTAATTCTTTATCTCTATCTTTTATTTTTAAGATTATTAGTTTACTATTATTTATTGTGTTCATTTGCTTAGATAAATTATTTTTCAAAAGTTATGCCCATTAAGTATTGATTTTTGAAAATTTTATTATCAACCAATTTACTCCCCCTCTTAGTTTATTTCAAGTCTTTGAGCTAACAAGCACAAAACAAAAACTTTCAAATTTCAATTATGAAAAGTTAAAATCTTCTGTTAAATACAAAGATTATTAGTTATTAAACTGTTGTTTTTTGGTGCTACGTTCTTTTTACTGCTTAACACAACCTTTTGTATTAGTCTTACGCCAATGCTATTACCATCAACATCGTTATCCTCATTTTCAGGTCTCCTTAATCTCTACTAGCATGATTGTCTAGTTTTTTATTATTAGGGGTATTTTATGGTCAAAAGGGTATAGTGATATTTTTTTCTCTTAAAGCTTTCAATAGACAATCAAGGGCATTTTTGTCATTATGTCGACTTGACATAGTCAGTGCCATCTTAGCTCAGCCATATCCTAATTATTCTTCTATGGTCCCTCACAGCTTACCTATAAATATGAAAATTTAGGCACAATGAAGGTAGGTTTATTCAATTCACTTTTTTTTTCTCTCATTCTTACTTTTTTACTGATTGATCTTTACTAACTTATACGTTGGAGTGCAAACACAGGGAACACCTTTTGCCTTTGTCTCTGACCATTTTTTTTTTTACATTTATAGGAATACCTTCAAGTTAGAGCTCAGCACCAATATTTGGCACTCCAAGTAGGGGAAATTTCGTATTAGCTGAGTATAAAATAATGCTACCAAGAAAAAGAACCTAAGAGGAAGGAGAGGTAGCTCTCCAGTTAGAAAAGAAGCTTATCTTAACTAGCATTTTGTTGGCCTAACTCAACCACAGGCTAGACTGACCATGAAACAATTTTAAGCCCTAATATAATAAATACAAGCTCTCAAGTAGATGTTGTAAACTATAACCCTACCACAAGTTTCAAAAGTGCCAAACTTAATCACACTTAACCGAGAAGCTACTGTCAAAAAATTAAGCTACGAAAAGATAGAGGCTTTCTCGACCTTCAGAAAATAAGAACACACAAACCCAACTTATCACCACCCCAACCACAATTTCACACATGTCACAACCTAAAAATCCAAACAAACAAACTATAAATTTTAACTGAACAGAGATTTGGAAAGTTAAATGCAAGCCATGAAAAAAGAGCTGAAAATGAAGGCAGTGACATTTAAGGATAAGCTTAAGTTCTTGGATACCTCAATTTTTATTGAAAAAATTGATAGAGTCATACCTCTCAAAGGATTTAAAATGCCAACCTTTGAGACATACGATGGTACTTCTAACCTTTTTGATTAGTTGAAACTTTATAAAACTAACATTATAATGCAAGAGGCAGATGGAGTTTTAATCTGCAAAGGTTTAGCCACTATGTTAAAAGGCTTAGCTTGATCCTGGTACAATAGTCTGGAACTAAAGTCAATCGTTACATTTAAGAAGCTTAGCCAATCTTTTTTGTCCAAATTTATGAATAGTTAAAGAGCAAAAAAATGACCTTAAGCTTGATGTCAATTCACCAAGGGCGAAATTAAACTTTAAAAAATTATGTCATGTATTTTAATGCAAAAGCTTTATAGGTTAAAGACTGGGAATAGATGACTATTGTTGCTGTATTGACAAGTGGATTCAACGATAAAAAGTACCACTTAAAGCTAACATTGTGCTAGAACCACCTAAAACTTTGGTTGATGTCTTACTAATAGCAGAAAAATACATTAATGCTAAAATTATAATAAAAACTAACAGAGGTGAAAGAGGCTTATCTCCTTTTCTTAGTCGTAAAAAATGTAAAGAGTTCTATGATATTCTCCTAAGACAAAGATGACATAGGGCTAGAAGTTTCAGTGGAAAAAAAAGCTACACTGCACTGAATAACTCCTATGAAAGGATTTTAATACAAATTGAAAAAATTTTGACCTTAGATGGCCTAAGCCATTAAGACAAAACATAAGGAAGGATTTTATAAAAAAAATATAGCTTTCACAGGGATGTCGACCATAATACCAAAGATTATGTGAACCTAAAAAATAAAATCGAAGCTTTGATAAAATGAGGTCAGTTGAAAAAATTTGTAAGATAAAAAAGACAAGACCAACTTAGAATAGATTATAGACAAGACCATAGAACACCTATCTAGGGTAAAAAAAAAAGTAGAGTAGAGAAAAAGGGATGCCCGAAAAAAAAAGTCGAATTAATAAGAGGGTCGAGCTAACAATAGTAGGTCAATTATTAAGGTGATTAACGTGATCACAAGAGGTGCTTCACCTCAGTGAAAGAAAAGTTTAACCTGAGTATGATAATGGCAGTGGGCACCTCAGCCAAAAAAGAAAAAGATTAGAGAGATGAGAAGATTTCATTTAACTTGAAAGATCTAGATGGATCCAATACCCACATGATGATGCCATAGTGATCACTGCTTTGATGTATAACTAAATGGTTAAAAAAATACTATTTGATAATGGGAATTTGATCAACATCATGTACTATGGCTATTTAAAAAAATAAGGATTGGTGAAGATCAGTTGAAGTTAATCACCACCACATTAGTGAGATTTGAAAATAAGCAAGTACCCGTAAGAAGAATTATCAAGCTTTCGATTTCTTTAGGGATTGAACCGAAGACCATTACCTTGATCGTAGAATTCATGGTAATGGATATCTCATCTGTCTATAACATGATATTAAGCTAACTTAAGCAATATATTACGCAGCTTATAGGCTTAACTCTCCATTTAAAAGTAAAATTCCTAACACCTAAAAGGATTGAAAAAGTTCAAAGAGATCGG